GTGTATCTGTTTGATACATTCAAGATAGTGCTTTCCTGCCAGTATTCATTCAAGGGGGGCTCAGTATTCAGATAATGATTGGCTCCTCACTTTCCACTCACAACTAATTGGAAAGGAAAAGCCATTTGTATATAGCTATGTACATACATACATACATACATTCTCAGTAACAGCTGCTTGGTGTCAAATACTTAGTGCAAACTGTCTTGGAAGAAGCAACTTGCACTGACCCCTAAATTCTGCACCATTTCATTCTCTCTCCCCCTTCACCCTTTCTGCCCCTCAAGCATGGAAGGGTTCATCGCTTCAAGATTGGCACCCACAATCCTTCATGTCCAAATTCAGGAGCAGAGCAGCCAAATATCCATTAGGTGGCAAAGGAAAACATAAATTTAATATTTTTAAAACAGCTTTTTCAATTTTTTGCTTGTAATTCATTCCAATCCATTTTCCTTCAGGGACCCTCAGCAAGAAAATCACTCGTTTTGCCTGCTGTTTACCAGTGCTTTTCTTGCGCCACCCCAGTCCTTTTAAGCATCTCCTCTCTTACATTATGAGCACTGACAGGAACACATGATCCTACACACGTTTACTCAGATGTCAAATCACACTGAGAGCAACAGGATTTACTCTGAGGTTAAAGTGTATTGAGCTGCAGAGCTACGAGTTTGATCTTACACAGCTTCAGGAACAATGGTACGTTCTTTCACTTTACAGATTTGACAAATAAAAACAAACAGCAAAAGGAGACAGAGTGAAAGCAGGCTTGTGGTCACAGCATCAAGGTAGGACTACAACTGTAGCTCAAGCACAGTGTCCATTTTGTATTTGCTGGAAAAGGTGGGGATGGAAGGGCATGGATGGTAAGCAGGCCAGGGCCTATTCCTCTGCCCCTTTTCTCCCTCCACCTCTCCTCACAGGCTTTTTCACTCTGCTATTATTTTAGTCTCACAGTTCAGTAGAGAAAAAAAGTTACTAGGGGCTGGTGAGAAGGAACCAGCTGGCCCATCCAGCTTAAGTACATTCCACTTATTTGCTGCAGCTTTCCTGAAATTGTTGCCAGGCCTGTTCAAATTCAGGGTTGTAAACCTACTTGTTTGGCCAGCTGTGTAGCTTTGCCCCAAGCAAGAAAGCCTGAACAGAATAGGCAGAATAACAGCAGAAGAGAGTCTTTTTCTACATACCTGCCTAATGATGCCACTTTTCTGTTTTCCCTTCAGTTGAAGTTCCTTTCTAAAAATCGAGGCCAATGTTTTCTTTGTCCATACTGAAATAGAAGAATGCTTCCCTTGAGTTTGTGTATTAGATTTACCTGAGACCAGGGCTGTGCTGGAAGCTGATTTCATTAGAAACCACCCTGTGATGTCTATATTGGAAAACAGGGAAAAGACTGGAGTTATGGAAGGTTAACACCAAATCTGCACAGCCAGGTATCTTGTGTAGCACTCTCCTTAACATTTTATATTCATACCCATCACTAAAGGGGATATCAAGAGGCTAATCTATTAAACTTACCACTTTTGCAATGTATAATAGTAAAGCTCAGGATTTATCTGGATAAAAGCCATACCCCAGTTCATACCATAGTAATAAATTTGTGGTGGGTATATCTGCATTGCACCCACTTCAATGGCTTCACAGAACACTGTGGAGGGCAAACAAATCTTTCCAGATTCAGTCTTCTAAATCACAGGTAACTTGTACTGCCCGTTCATTTAAGGTTGTAGGACTTCATGATCTCATGTTGTGCTATGTATTTGGACAGCTTGCTTCTGCTCAAGTAACGTATCTGTGAACGAACAACAAAATAGCATGGAAAGCCAACAGGCTTCAGGGCTGTCTCCTCTAATGGAGGGTGTCTGGGAAATACTGAAGGTGGCCAAGACAGAATTAGCAGTAAAGGTGATAGCAGTATTGCCACCACAAAAACAATTTTGTAGTGGTTACACTTTCAGTGGTAGATAGGCAGTGATGGGTAAATCAGGGATAAGAACATTTTGTGCATCTATGTTGGCCCATACAAGAGGCTTGTGAGGGATGCACATGGCTTACTGGTTACAGGTTGCTGGAACTTCCTATCGATTAGGGAAGAGGAAAGCACAAACAATAAAATTTACAGAGCAAAAAAGGTGTAAGGTATGCCTGTACAAATGTTTCAACAACTGGTCACCATTAAAACAAAACAGACACAGCCAGAACTACCTTCATTTATTATAAAGTTACACTATGAGAAACAAGTTGAATGTATATCGAAGCCTGTAATGGTACATGCCAAAATGTACAGTACTATACATAAAAGTGCATTGTCACAACAGCTTAACAGTACATTTTCTTCTTCTTTTAGGACTGTGTAATTGTAATTCTCCTCTTACTTGAGAGTGGAAGGAATGCAGCAGTACAAGAGCAGCAGAAAATGAAATGGAGATGCAACAGAGCAAGGCTAAAGCTTCTCTAAAAATGTAAAGGCACTTTCACATGTACATACTTACAGATGTACATTGACACAATTAGGTAACAGTCAACAAGCAGGAAGTTACCAGCACTGCAATCTATCAAACTGACAGTCAAGGACAATACTGATTTGATTGGGTACACAGGCATTTACCCTTACTGTGCCTGCAGCTGTACCAATCTTTCCTCTTACATATCCATTCACTATACTTGAAGTTGCTATAATAAACCATCAAACTACAAACATTTAAGTCACGTGAATGCTCGAAATGGAAGCATTCACTAAATTCACCATTTCTAATATTTTTCTTCACTAAACAATTTCTAATATAAGCGGTATAGTGGCCAGAGTAGTAATTCAGACATATAAAATTTTCCTACAGACTCTCAAGGTATGAGTATTCACCTTAGCTTATGCCACACAATCTATTGTTGTTGTTGAATCACTAGGCTAGAGTGCACTTAAATAAGACATATCAGTTTTTTCCACAGGTTCAAAATCCAGGCTAGTGAAGGAGGTCCTAAGCCTTGCATGGATCACTCCAACCTTTGACATGTGATGAGTGTTAGCTAAAACCTCACTACAGAGTACAGGATTTTAGTTTATCTTCCTGGGAATAGTTCAGGGTGGCACCTTTGGCGAATGTAACATTTCCTAATCTCAGTCTTCTGTGGCAATTGCAGTATACTGTATTTGAATATCTGTAAATTAATTGCACTGAGATACCAAATTCATGAATTAGCAATTCAGCAGGTCTGATTTCAGTTTTAGGTATGTAAATAATCTGGTTATCTGAAAATTGCTTCAGAGATTAGAACTGAAACCTTTAAAAAATTACATCTCTCCTCTCTCCCCACCTTCTCTTTCTCCATTTCTTTAACAGGAAATGTATGTGGGCAAGGTGGCTAATCATTTTAATGGACAACTTTTTTGAAGTTCTTTGCCCAGGTTTCATAGAATTTAGTATTCGTATTAACCTTGAGAGGATGGTAGTGAGGATAAATTAGTCTCATAGAGTCTGTGAAGTGGCTGATCTTGGAAGCTAAGCAGGATCAGGCCTGGTTAGAATCTGTATGGGAAACTTGAACCCTGTATTATGCAGGGGGTTGGACTTGATGTCCCAACTGTATGATTCTATGATAATAGGTTATGATGCCCTTAGATGATTAATAAATGAATACATCACAGGACTACTGTTCTCCCATTTATGATTCTATATGGTGTGAAGGAGCCAAATGAACACATTCAAGTGAAGGAATAACTTGTTTCTAATGCAGCAAGGGTATGAGAAAAGAAACACATTATTTGGATTCTGTTTTGCATGAGTTGATGGATATCAGGTGACTCTCTCTCCCACTGCCCTGTGACACCACTATCCTTAAAGGTTTACCCTCCAGAACTGGAACTTATATGATCTAGTTAAGTGGTTTCTTGATTAATAATACAGAATAAAGTCTCCAGTGGAGTGAGAAGGTGACCTTATATAAATATTCACAGAGATGATATGGCTTTGTGTTAATTTGTGGAAAACAGTTGTACAGTTAGTTCACATGTATTAATAACAAAGTTCCTAATGATGCAACACTACACAAGTACGTAATTTCACTCAGACATGCAGATGAAAAAGGATTCTAATTGGGGAAAATTGGTTCTGACATACTTTATTTAGATTTTAGAGTAGCAAATGACAACTTCGCCCTGTGAACAGCCTCTTGCCTCAACAGAAGGAGCTATTCTAATGAAGAAATAGATAATTCATGTTAACAAAACACAGGAAACGGCACGCTTTCTTTTGCATGCATCATATTTCACAACCTCGAGAATACAGCAGCTTTACACTGTTACGTTTCACAACTTGCTCATTTTCTTTCAAACTTTCCAGGAATGTTTTGTTACAAATCATTAAGTTAGCTAAAACTTTCTATCCGCAGAGAGATCCAAACACTCGGATCATAGGAATGTAAACACATTTTGCAGTAAATTGTGAATAGCTACCTGAAGGAACTGGTGGTTAAACATCTAGTTTTATTGCAATGCATTAAACCTGAGGGTAACTACTAGGGACTACTCTATAGTATGGTCTTCCCCAATTTGATACCCTTCAGATGTCTTGGACTGCAAGTTCCATCATTCTCAATCCCGGCACAGCTGGGAGTTGCCATCCAACACATCCGAAGGGACTAGGCTGGGGAGACCTGCCAAAGAAGGCTGACAACAAGCTTGAACTTCTGATTTGTACAGTTGCCATCTATATGAGAAAAAAAAACCTGTTCTCCATATTCTGCCAATGAGCTACACTAACACTGCCAACACCAAGTATTTTGAAGGAAATGCTAGGGTAACTCTACTTTCCCTATTACTTTGGGAGCGGGTCCTTTCCACCCAATCCTATGCATGCTTACTCAGAAGTAAGTCCCCTTGTCTCATGGGTAGGTGTGCACAGGATTGCAGCCTGAATAATTCTCAAGATTCCAACTTTCAGCCCTTACTAAAAATATGATTCATACTGGAGACAGAAAAATAGACCCATCAATAGCTACACTAACACTGCCAACACCAAGTATTTTGAAGGAAATGCTAGGGTAACTCTACTTTCCCTATTACTTTGGGAGCGGGTCCTTTCCACCCAATCCTATGCATGCTTACTCAGAAGTAAGTCCCCTTGTCTCATGGGTAGGTGTGCACAGGATTGCAGCCTGAATAATTCTCAAGATTCCAACTTTCAGCCCTTACTAAAAATATGATTCATACTGGAGACAGAAAAATAGACCCATCAATAAATCTATTTCAATAACCATTCATAAGAATTCCTTTTGAAGTCCAAAAGTTACTGTCAGTGTGAAGTATTGAGCTACATGGGATGCTGGCGGTGACTTCTGGTGCTTTTATTAGAAAAGGTGCATTGTGGAAGTTTCAAGTAAAAGTGTGTTCCTGTTTTCAAATGATACACTGAATTCTCCAGTTTAAAAATTGAGCCTATTTTAAATGCCCACATTCATGTAGGTAGCTTGAGACATTACACTGGACATTTCTTAAAAACCAAACCTCTCGCATAATATACACAAAGTAGTGGTGTCATGGAACCCAGACTTCTATCAGTGATCCATTCTTTTGGTAGTTCACGCCATGCTTGTCACATGAGTTGCTTGGTTTTTACATGGTGCAAGACTTGTCTGCCGGACCTTGGGAAGGAGAGGAAGGGCCTATGCTTGGGTTGGTTTTTGGAAGAACAATAGGTTTGGGCCGGAGTGCAGGAGGTTTCAGCTGCACTCCCATCCTGGGCGCTACCAAGGGCTTGAAGGTACTCATGGAATCACTGGAAGAACTAGTGCTACGTCGAATCTGAGGCTCCGTGCTTCGCAACATGGCACTGTGCAGAGGGCTCAAGGATTCTGTTGAGGTAGTACTGGTGGGAGAGTTTTTCATTTGTTCCAAGGTATCCAGCACCACATCTGGAGCATGTTTTGCAGAGCTTTGACGTTCCAGTTCTCGGAGCTCGTTCAGAGCCGTGTTCATTGTTTCTTCAATATCCTGTTCAGAGTAAGAAACATGTTTGCTGAAGGTTAATAGAGAATACCAAACATAGCACTGGAGAAGCAAACAGCTGTTTCTTATATCCACCACTGGGAACCCCCTGCGAAGCATAAGAAATATTTAGATACATAAATATAGGGATAACTACAACATGTTTATGCGAGACAAAACATTTTGGATCAAATCCAGCTTCAGTCAGTCAGGACTAAATGCCACTGAAATCAGGAGCAGATGGTGGCTGAGAGCCAGCGTAGCATGACGGTTAAGAGGGGACCTGGAAGATCCAGTTCTTGTCTCCCCTTAGCCATGGAGCTCACTGGCTGACTTTGGACCAGTCACAGGCTCAGCCTAATTTACCTCACAGGGTTGTTGAATTGTGAAGATAAAATAGAGAGAATGAAAACTCTGCAAGCTGCCTAAGGTTTCTTGCAAGAGGAAGAAAGGTGGGATATAAATGTAATGCAATGTAATAATAGTTATGACAAAGTAAACATCAATTGTTTAATGCAATTTATAGTGCAAATTTACTCAGAAGTAAGTCCCACTGAGTTTTACAAAGACTTATGATTTACAAAGAATTGCGTACAGAATTGTACCTGTACAAGATGTGTATACAAAATTGTACAGAATAAGCAGAAGCAAAAGAGTACCAACATTTTATACAAACTTAATATTAATTTTACAAGAAAAGAGAAAAGTGCAAGTGGGAGAGGATAAATATTATATTTATGAGCAAGAAAGATAGAGAATGAGAAATAGGCACCAACAGTTCAAGATGGGATAATGAAAGACCAACAAAAAGGCATTATAGTAATCAAATGAAATAAGTTTTAAACAACATCTTCCACCTTACCTGTATAAATATACCCAGCCATCATATGAAATATGGTGATGATTCTCAAATACGTATTTCTTTGTGTATGTAGCTTGATAATGTTACCTAACTGATCTGATCCCAAATATTGTAACTGCCAAAAGTAACTACATTTTGCCAGCATGAAGACACAGACAATTTCAGGAACTTGAAACAAAATACCATGAGCCAAGTATGATGCAAGGAAAAGTTATAGGCCAATTTATAAGCCATCATGTATTGTGTGATACCCGTCACAAGAACATCTGCCTAACAGAGAAAGCAACAGTTCATAAATTAACAAACAAGACACACCTGAGCAATTGACTCTGGGTCAAGTGGTTTGTGGTCATTGAAAACTGGGTACTGGCCAGATGATGTTGATCTTCTAATTGGAGGGCTGTCAATTTTCTTCAGTGACTCATGCCTACTAATATTGGTGAGGCTGCCATGGCCTGGCCTACGCCTCCTTTCTGGGCTGTCTGTATTGAGGCTGCGGTTTTGAAGGACAGCTCGAGACGTGTTGTGGCTTGCCATACTGGGGGAACCTAACTCCAGTGATGAATGGGCAAGGCTGTGTGGTGGATGAACGGGACAGTGTCCGTCACTGGTCCTGCCAGGACGTCTGCCGGGAAGCGGGAGTTCAGATCTCTTGCGTTGCCTGCACAGAGACCAAGGAAATCACAGGAGATTAAACAAAGAATATATAAAGAAGTCTTGTCAACACATGGCCAAAAAATTTGCGAGTGTGGTGCAGTTTTAGGAATGTGGGCTGCAAAGCAAGTAGCCAGTTCAAATATTATCTCACCCATGAGATAGCTTGGTAAGCTGCTATTTATAAGCTTGTGTAATAAAACTGACTGATTTTACATGGCGGTTACAAATATTTGTAATACTCTTAAGTGCGATACAGATGTTAGGTATGCCAGTACAGCTAAGTGGTCATGTTAATTTACCTTCCTAAATATATATCAGGATGACGATCTGTTGGTGAATTCATATCCTTAGATGAAGATTTGTCCTCTGTTACTGGTCCACTGCTGGCTTCACTATCTGCCTTCAGGCTCAATGTATCTGAGAATGTATCATCCCTGAGCAGAAAGAATAAGGAATAATATTATTTTTGAGAAATCAACACACCTGGGTAGAAAGAACAAGAGCACTCTTGTTTCCCACTGAGCCCCTTGGTCTCTGTGACATTTTTTTTTTTTTTACTACAATTGTAATCATCACTTTCTTCAAAGACATTAGGTAAAGAAATAATCAAGTGTTGCCCAGTGGCTATTAAATGTTTTTGTGGCTAGGAACTGCCAGATGAAGAGGTCCTAACACTACTAGCCAGGAGGCATTGTACAGCTATTCTGCATGTTATTCCTGAACAGATCATCTGTATTAAGAAAAAAGATGGAAGAAGTGGTGAGAAGCGGGAGATGATCAACGCCTCTGGCAAAATGCACTGAATGAAGCTGGGTGAGGGTACAATAAAAGCCTTGGGAGAAAGCAGCCTGAGCTTCACTTCAGCGTTTGGCTTCTAAGCGCAACTTGTAGGTGTTCCACTGAATGACCCTTTGCAGGACAAATCACAACTGATGAGGGAATAAGCAAGCAGTCTCACTTCAAAACTGGTTTTACTAGACAAAAACATGTTCTTCAAAGAATATGGTTTGAATTTAAGACAGTGAAGCTACAAATAATTCCCATCAGTTGAATGTAAGTGTGGATTTTGCTCCTTGTCCACCCTCCACAAACCGACCAGCTGTTAACCAGAGCTCCTGTCTGGAGTCTCACAGAGAAAGAAGAGAGAGACTGTGAGAGAGGAGCAAATGTACAGAGAGGAATGATACTGAAACTCTGCTTCAGTTAGCACATTAACCATCAGCCTGGACCCTACTGATTTCTTGTGTCCAGCCCAGGAACCCTGCTGCATAAGTTGGAACTTGGTCTTATTTGATGTAGAACATTAGCTCTGGCATTTCCTATCAGGTAGTAATTGCTTACATATCTTGAACAACTATGTACTGATGAGGTACGAGGCCATCAATTCCATTATGTCTTCCTTCCCACCAGTCATCAGAAGCTCGATGATACAAAAGCAGGGAGGCGCCTTTCTTAAAAGAGAGTTCTCGTGCAGATCTTCCAACATAGTCAAACTTGGCAATAGCTTCTATTGGTTCACATTCTATGACAAAAAGAGAAATGATCAGAAACTGCGAAACAGTTTGCAGTAGTACAGACAACTCAGCCTGAGTTCATTTTAAAAAGAAGCAAAAATGAAGAAATAAAAGAAACAAAACTATTCAGAAGCAACACAGTCATCAATAAATCTCCAGAGCATAAAATTACTTGCACAAGAAGTGTGGAGCACTTTTCTACTCTGTTACAGTATTTTCTATTTATAACTATTTATGACAAAGAGGGATTGTCAGTTCTGCAATAGTTAGATGTATGGGATGGAAACTATCCAGGATGAGTGTTTGTTCTGCTGCCAGCTGCTATTGCTGAAATATCAATATTCCTGCCCAACAAGTTTCTGTATGCCTTCAGAAATTAGGCCAAGAGTGGGAGGTCTATTTTCACCTTCCACAGGCTGTGCATCTCCACCCCATGGGCATCAAAGAAATAGCAAAATTACAAAGATGTTTTTTTTTTTTTTTAATCCCATTCAGATCACCTTGCTTGCAAGCTAAATTCAATTCTTCGGTCATTCTGTAACCATATCAGATGACACTCATCTCCGCCCACCCCCCACCAACAAACAAACAAATCCAACAACAAAACCCAAAACCCAGGGCAGTGCAGAGAAGGGCAGCTGTGCACTGGCCACCCCTGGTTTGGATTCTGGTCTCAAACCTCTAGAAAAATCCATCTTAGGAACACAACTTTCAGGTACAGAAAGTTCTAGCATAAAATCATAATAGCTTTTTATGGAGCCTTGATAAAAGGGGCCTTGTAATCTTCGGCCAGTGCCCACATCGTGCCACAGAAGGTCTTAACAGCTCTGCCTTAGCAGCTCTCTTGTATTACAACAAAAGAACTACTTCCTTGACTGATTTCTACTTCCCTCCATCTGCATATACAGAAGATAGCCTTGTAAGCCAACAATAATATAAAATCTCCTTTGTGTGAATTCTACATCAGCAATTATCCATCTGTTTGGGGCTTCCTCAGGAAATTCCTTCTGATTTACTTTGGAAACTGATATAGTAAACTATTTTATTTGTATCTAACTAGAGCAAAATAAATTCTAAAATGCTTTAGATACTGCTAATGAAACACCGAGTTCTTGGACCAATAATCTGAAAGTCATTCCAAATGAATCCATTTCTGGGACTAATTCCCAGAAAAATATTTTGCCTTGTGCTTCAGAGTAAAATCAAATTGCACGCAATACAGTTACATGCTACTACTAGGTATGTAACTCTCCATTCTGTTCTTCTAAAACTTCCAGCATCCCAGTTTTCATAACTAGGTGGAATGTAACATTTCAATGTGATGTTTACAGCAAGGACTCATGCTTGACCGCTCAGGACCTACTATGTTTAATGGGGCTTATGCCCAGAAACTATGCACATGATTGCAACCTTAAAATATCTTTATTGATTAACTTTTTATAAGGGGCAAGTCTGTAGAAAATATTGCAGAATAATTAAAAAACCATCTTTAGATATATTGGTGTACTGGAATATTTTACTAAGGCCTTGAACCATCAAAGCATTAAAAATAAGCTACTGTTGCATTCTAGATTGGCCCACAGTGGACCAAAATATACATAGCATTGAATATGTAAATACATAAATGTTTTTTTTTTTCATTTAACAGTAGCAGCAGGAGGACTGGGGTGCAGAAGAGCAAATCTGGACTAAGGCATGTGTGGAGTGGGCTTTAACCCTTTCCATGCCACTGGAGTGCTGCTGAAAATATTTCCCTACCCAGAACCTGCTATTAGTTCCCAAAGGAAAACTTTCATTGGACAAATGGAAACTTCCTTCAGAACAGGTACTTCAGAAGGTGGTAGGACTACAGTGGGAGAAAAGATTAAATTCCCTTCTTGCCTCCTGTGGTCCTGGATAAAGCTTCCTAGATAAAGCTTAGATCTGAACTAGTATGAAGCACCCAGCATAGTGGAAGGGGCAGTCGCTAAGAGCCTTACCACACATGGAACATTTTTCCATTTGCACGTGCCTAGAAGGCAAGGCTGTACACACAACCCTTAAAACAGCTAGCATCCTGACAAGCAGCTCTTTCAGTTATTGCTATTACACCCCACAAAATAGTTGATGGGTTATCTGGGGTTTATAAATTTAAAGAGGATTTTTAAAACCCCAGTTGATGCAGATTTACCAGTTCTCACAGACCAGATTTTGTTTTGTAATAAGAATGAGACTAATTCTTGCAAGAATCTGGCCTGTTCTGCCCTTGTTTTCTGAAAACAGAGCTTGTACCTTTACTCCCTTCATTCTAAGACACAAAACCAAATGAAAGGGATAGCCAATCCTAGAGTTTAGCATTCCAGAGGAAGAGTTTTTGCCTGGATTGTTACAGAAGACTAGAGTCCTATGGCCTCCCTGCACTAGATTGCACGACCTGGGGTATATTATTACAGCTTGACTGTTCCAAGACAAGTGCCTGCATCAACAGGTCCAAGGAGTCCAAGTCCAAGGTACTGATCTTGGCAAGGAGGCTGACCTAAGCCCAGCAGCAGCACCATATGGCTGCTTGGGCAACTGTGGACAATCCAGCATCACCTCTTTGCAGCTACCCTTCACTTGAAGTGCCTGCATTATTTACAGCTCCCTTTCTCAGTGCCACTGCTTCCTCTGTTCTCTGCCTGCTGTTTGCTGGGAGAATCCCCCTCACCTGCCATCTTCAGAATTTCATATGGCATAGGCCTGTGGCTGAGAGGAGGATCAAGACTGCCTTCACTGTGATAGGGCCACCCCAAAGCCCTGTAGCTGACCCTGGGATAAGCTTCCGTAGCAGTGCAGGATGTGGTTCTTTCTGTTCCTCGTGTTTGTCCCTCCTTGCCATGAAGCACAATGACAAATATTTTATGGCAGCAATGCTCAGCAGTTTAAAATGGCACTTGAATGTAACACAGCACCAGATAGTAATTTGTGCTGAGGAATGCAGGATTTTTTCACTTGACCTTCCTGTAACTGTGTGAGGAAAGAAGCAAGGAAACAGCTGCCCAATGACGGGCGGTTCCATCTTAAAAACAAAAATGATACCCATACAAAATTTTCAATTAAAGACACTGTGCCAGAGATTCTTCATTTAAAATTAGAAGTAATGGGGAAAACAGCAGTTCCTTTGTGCAGTACGTACACATGTAATTTAAGAGAGAAACAAGGCCACTACAAACAACAGGAAAGGTCATACCATCTTCACTGGTGTGTAACTCTGTCCCGGCATCCAGGTCTACTTCCTCTAAGGTACCATGTTCACTATAAGGGCTATCACTGCAGAAATAATACTATCTGAATTAATATTTTATGGATGAATAGATTTATAATGTAAAAATTCAGCAAGCTGCCATCCTAACCTATTACTTCTGCAAGCATCACTTAACATTTTTAGCTAAGGCAAAGTACTGTTGGCATTTTAAACTACTTTGACTAGTTTTTTTTAATTATTTCAAATCCAGCAAATTAGAAGGCAGACAATCTGTAAACCAAGGGACATTCATTCTCTCTCTCTCTCCTTCCATGGGGCGGCTTCATTTTTGAGCAGGATAGCAGGCTACTATTATGTAATATGGGAGGCATTTATTCATATGAAAGAAGACAAAAGCTTGGACTAGTGGAGGGTTGCATAGAGGGACAAAACTAGAACTCCTTCTAGTTCCATGTAAATGTGTAACATTAACCTAAAATACTTTTATGAAATGAAAAGCAGCTTCAGGAGCAGGGGGATAAGAGCAGTACTGGGTGAAGGAGAAAAAGAAGATGCTTAACCCTTTCCCAATGGTTCTTGTATTGCTCTAAAGCAGCCTTCCTGAATGCTCCTGCCCCAAGCTGCTTTTGAATGCTTTAAAAACAAAAGCACTGTGCACAATGTCACAAACATCTGTGCATACTATTTAGTTTGGCCAAGGGTAGCGGCACTTTGCACCCTGACTTCAATACTCTGAGGTGATAAGTTCATGGGAAAGGTCTATTTTTCATCAAAGCATATGAGGTTCAGGCTCAATGATATCTGATTTCACCTTAAAATTTATTACTACACTATAACAAACTGTGAAGTTTGGATGGGATGGCTCTTTAACTGGAGGAGGAAGGATTGATATTAGGTGGCTATCCTATGCACATTTACCTGGAGATTAGTTCCATTGAGTTCGATGGGATGTATTCCCCAGGAAAGCATACACAGGACTTCTTACTTCTGAGTGTACATGCACAGGATAGTAGTGCCATTTCATGAATTTCTGAATACCCCATTTTCAAATCCACCACTCTGGTTTAAATGACTGAACTTTGATTCTGAATAGAATGGTTTAGTCCGTCAGAGAATTCATCTGAATTCTCAGATGAAGAGAGGATATATCAAGTTTTGTTATTTTGGTAACTGTATTTTGAAAATTAAATGCTCTAGATACTTTCAGATAAATGCTCTACATACTTTCAGAAATGTTAACCTGAATATCAGAGACCTTTGTTCAATTAGGAACAATTCAGAAGGCTCACTTTCACAGGAGCAGTTCACTAAAACAATGCAAAAAGGCTGTTTTTTGGCAACATGACTAATAACTGTACAAATTATGTTTAGTGCTAAAGAATACTTTACTTGATTTTGTATATTTAAATGTATAAGCTTTCTTTTACCCACATGGCCCTCAAATAGCATTCATTATTTGACTGAACAACATACATTTAGGCCAAACTACATGTGACATTAAATCATCTTTTTAAACCAGTAGCTGTAACCTGGCTACATTTATTTTGGAAAAACAACAACAGCAAAAGGGCCTTGATACAGAACATGCTCCTGATCTTGACTGGGGGTCTGCACTGGTTTTTTGCTGAAAAGCACTCCGATTCTAATTGGGTTTTGCTCCCAAAGTGCTGTTTATGGCAAACAGGACCTTCAGAGTTGAATAGCTGTCAGCTAGTGGTGATGGGTGATTTACATCAGAAAATTGACACAGGGCTCTGATCACACAGTCGTGGCAGCTTGCTCCTGCTTCAAACTTCAAACTGACCACAGAAGGAATCAGGTGAAGCATGCTTCACAAAAGACGGAAGGACTTACCAATAGTCATCACCAGCCATACACTTTTCATAAACTGGGCCATCAAGCTCCTTTGTATCTGGGAAAATGTTCTCATGGTGAATGATGATGGTTTTGATTATTTCATTCACATGAGCCTGGCATGACACTTGGTCTTGTATATCTGGAACAGGCATCAATGTTGGACCAAAACAAATGGCCAGATTATAAGGATCCATCATATTTTCATCACTGTACTGTGAAAGGCTGTTTTTAAAAAAGAGCAAAAGAAAAGAAAGGCTGGCATTTTGGGTCCATGCTTGACCTACATATGCTTAAAAATCTATACAATATTAATACTCCAGTTCCACACCACCCTTTTATTGCTTAATCTTGTACAAGGATATTGTAAACACAACTCAGTTCAATTATCTTTTCCTGACTGGCAATGCTGTGAAAGTGATGATCTTCTGAAAGATGCCTGTGAATGATGATACAGAATAATCTATAGGAATACTAAGCGTGGACAATTCACTGAAAGCAGGAGATCATCAACTTTAAGCAGTGATAAGCTAAGGTAATGAAGGACTTGAATTGCAGGAAAGAGTAAAGCACTTGGATTTAAATGTAATAATAAGTAATTCTTACATTTTTACTAATGCAAAAAGGCTGCATCATTCTGTTAATCAAAGGAAATAAATCACGCTTTTGTTTCTACAGCTATATAGTACCCCCATCTCTTTCTTATTCCCTTTCTTTTTCTACCCCACAGACTTCCTGTAGCATTATTTATCAATGCTCTTTTCTTGCTTCTTCTTCTTTCACCCTTCTCATCTTTGTCACCAGCACTACTGTTGCTGTCATGGGAAGACCGTTTAAGGTACAACTAGCACAGGGTGGCCAGCTCTACACAACAAGGCAATCCCCTCACCTGCAGCAATCGGGGGTTGCATATGAAAAATGCTACTGCAACTCACTGAGGATTAAGCAATCCTTGGTAAGCCTGGTGTACCACACCAATTGGCCCATGGAATACAATTTTAACAGGATGAATGGGCAATGGGCTATTGGATAAATGTACCCATACATTCAATTCATGAAAGTAGAATGAAGCTGTCTTAAGAATGGCGTTCTCTACGCACAGACAGTTTTTGAGACAGTCTGACTGCTGTCTGTGCTAGACAGGATTCCCAAGTGTTCTCTATATTTGGAGTAGAATTGTCACATTCAAGCTGTTGAGGAAGATCGATAGTTGAAATGCAGTCAGCTACTGTATGACTTTATAAAATTTCTGCATTAGCCATTTTAAGGAAACTCTGAGAACATATGTGGATTGGTATATTGCCGGTTTCTTCCCCACACTGCTATATTCCTAATTTACTAACTTTTATACTTCCCCTCTTTAGTCTTTCTAAATTATGACCTTGATACCAGGTTCCATCTCTAGATGAATGTGTGCACTAAAGGTTTAAATTAAGTAGTAATTGACTCCATGATTAGAAGGGAGATGAACATGAACATGATAGGGATCATCTTGATATTTCTCTGCATCTCATTCATGTAAATATGACCTTACATTCAAAGGCTAGATCAAACTTTTAGTCTTCAATCAATTCTGTGCTGATGGAAACAAGAACCTATGCTCTGCTCTCTTAAACTAAAGAACCTGCTGAGGAAGATTTAAGGGTTTCTGGTAGCATGATTATGTTTTACTAATAAAAGAATTGTACTTTGTCTTTATGAAAATCTATGGGCATTTTGTTTCATGCCCATAGAGTTCTCATGTTCTAACCATCCTTTTAATTTCTGTTTCTGTATCATTTTTCACTTAATTCTAGTTTGGTTATAAATCATTGCTCTGCCATCAAATAAAATACTTCCATCTGTACTGAAATGAAGTATATACCAATATTAGATAAACTATGAAGTGTGTTCCAATGGGAAGTTAAGATACTTACTGGTTGAGGAATGCAAAGAGATATCTCAACACTATTAGCACTGATCTGGGCAAAGTCAGGAGGAGTTTACGTATGTGAAGAGCTCTCTCATAGAGATTTTCTATTCCTGTAATGCATAAATAGAGAAGGTGAATTGGCTGTCTAGGCATAGAAAATATAGGAAGTATGAAGTGGGCAGCACTCACTAAGACTTGCTGTCAATATTATTTATATAGTCACGCTTGAACCCCACAGTGAATGGCCAATTAACTTTATGGCCTTTGTTCCTATTTGTAGTAGTCTAGATGGGAAAGGGAAATCAGTTTCCTTGACCAGAACATGCTGCAATGCAGGGAATCCTTTATCCTTAGGTAAAAGCAAGTGTCATCTATCTTGGCCACATTTGGGGCCAAAGTCTACTTGTCCTTAACTATGCAATTCTGCTGGTAAGAGTAGTTTTTCTCTCCCCATGCCAAGTTTCTGCATGAGAAGGCGATCTGGATCAGGGGCTTTAACTCTTTGGCCCCTGCTCTGGTACTAATTCAGATTGGGACCAGTGGATAGGATATCTGTGGAAAAGAATGCTCTGCTTGCCCACCCAAGTTCTATCCTTGATAGATCTAATTACAGGCTAAGTATGCTCTACATTATATTTAACCAGCCACAAAAAATACTAAGCTAATTATTTGATTTTATGTACTGCATGAAGGTGAAGGGAAAGAATGCAAAATCAGGAATGCCAAAAGTGGTGAGTGACCCAGCTGGCAAAAGCAGAAAAACTCTCTTGTCACACCCGGTGTGATCATCCATACCACTCCACCCATGCCAAAATGGCACTTTGCAGCAACTATCGCTACCTGCTTACCCTTACGTATTTTATTTTGGGCATGTCACAAATTCATGAAATTTCATTCATACTTTTTTGGACATGGAAATATGCAGCCATAAAATCTGTATATTACATTGTCTCCTTGTGGCACCAAAATGTTCAAATTTGCTAGGAAAGTTGAAAGGGAAGTACTGTTTGCTTTGATGGCCATTAAAAATGTTTATGAAAAGGGGATGGAATACATCCTTTTACTAGGAAATCCAGAGGCTCAGGGTGATGTGGAAAAGGTGGAGGGTCCAGAGAATGGGCTGGGTAATACTAAAAAATTAGAGGATCGTACTTGAAAGGGAAACATATATATGTTCTGAGACAAAATCCACTTTGCTACTTTGCTTTTCAGTTGACAGCTTGCCAACTGGCAGCATAAAGTGTGCATAAAGTAACTTATATGCAGGCTCACTAGGTCAATGACCATGGATATTGCCTACTGCACTTTGACTGTAACCACATCAGGGCATTGGCCAGGCAAGGGCTCACACTTAGAAAGCTATAGGTACAAACCTTTGAAGGACTGATTTTTTTAAAAAAAAGATGGGATTGTGCACATTGTACAATTTGTGCTACCCCCCTCAAAATAATAAAGGATAAGCAAAGAGGAGATGGTAAGATGAGCTCTGTCACACAGGGCCCTGGGAAACTGGGTGGAGGATCGGGGGCAAGGAAGGGAAGACAGCCAATGGTAGGGAAATTTGGCAATGTTGAGTGCACCAGTGGTTGTTCCACAACCCCACAGCTTGGTCACAGAGTGGGCTGCCATGCTGTGCAAACCTGCCCCCCCCCCAAAAAAAAGCAACACAACCTCCTTTATAAAAAGGAAAGAAAAGCTATGAACTGAGGTAATAAAATTAAGTCAAACTGCATGGATAATTACACATACCTTGACCCGCTGCCAAAAAAAAATAGTCAGACTTCCTAAGAATAGGTGTTCCCAAGTCAGGTCATAACCTCAGAAAAGGCCTGTTCCTTTATACATACATAATGTACTTTACTAACTGATTATAGTCACAGAGACTATAATCAGAGTCATTTGAATATTCTGTACATTTGAATGCAAATATGCAGAATATTTTTTGTATAAAAGATAAACTTAAATAGCTGCCATGAACAAGAAAGAATGACTACTACATATACAAAGACTTACACTGAAGACTACTACTGAATGAAGGAATTCAGCAGGAATGAAGGAATTCCAGTAACATGGTTAAACAATACTGTAGTTGCCAATAAACCTTCCAAAGGAAATCTGGGCTGCCATGTATTTTTCTGGACAGTTACTATATTTATTAAAATTGAATGGGGGAAATGATAAAAAATTAACTTACTGACACAAGAAATAAGATCATTAAATCTTTCCTTAGGAAAGACAGGGTTCTCCAGCCCACGGAAATAGAGCTTCAGTACACCAGCAACTGAGTTAATGTCATGGTTTGTTTGGTCATCTGCCAAAGGATTTTCACCTACAAAAATAAATTAAGTTAAATACTTATAGGAATTTTAGCTGCACAGCATTTTGCTACATAGCATTTTGAGAAGACGTAAATAAATAACAACCAGTTTTGTACATTTAGTCTGTGATTAAAGTGAAAGTAATACACTAAAATAAATCTTCCCCTTAAGTAGGTGCCCTAATCATGCCTTAAATTTGGAAGGAGTATCTGAGATAGGCATGCCATACTAAATTCATTTGGCCCATTTATAACTAAGACTGCAATCCTAGGAAAATCTACGGCCCTAGGTTTGGCCTTGGAAAAATATTGGAAGGCTGGAGGTGCAGTAAATTCTGACAGTGCTTCAGTCCCTCCTTCTTGAACGGAAGGGTAAAACTCTGAGAGGGCTGAAAACGGCTAAGCATTTTGAGGGAAGTGTGGTGGTAATTCTTGCTTCTGCGCTTTTCCTGCCCTCCTCTAGATGTCTGTAATCCTGTGAATTGGAGGGTTACGGACAGTCTCACTGGAGGGCACTCTAAATTAAAATACTTCACAATAGTATTTTATTGTGAACCAAGTTCTAGTATACTTGAGAAAAACGGTACGAGGATTGCAGCATTAGTTAAATTAGTCTCTGCAACCATCTTCAGTCAAGTCACATACTAAACAAATAAAGGTTTCTTTAAGCTGTACTTCTTTCTTCAAGCTGAAAAAGTAATTTAAGAGGTTTCAAGTGCATGTACACTGCTGGGTATTGTAATCACAAAGAATGGATTCTAAATGTCAAACTCCAGTGGGAAAGATCAGGATTTTAAAGACTCTACACACATGGTTTTAAAAAAGGGCTGCCAGCAGATTAAATAATTGTTGGTAAGTTAAATGCCTCTGCTTTAGCTAATTAATGATACATCAACTAATTAAAGCAAGACTTTTATACTTCATTGCAGATTACATTTAAGGAAGGTAACCATTTCTTTTGACTTAATAGCCTGCACAATGCTGCATTGTTTGGAAAGGTTTGTGTGGATTTTATTAAGAAAATAAATTGTCCAGATCACAGCAATAGGAAAAACATTTACACTATACATCTGTAATGCTGGTGTGGTGCTTAAAGTGTTGGAGGGGGGATCTAGGAGATTCAGGAACTAGTCCACACTTGGCCACGAGGCTCATTGGGTTGCTGTTCTGAGAGTAAAAATGGAGCTACAGAAGCCACCTTGGGTTCCACGGAAAAGAAAAAAAATGTAGGATATACATGCAGTGTAGTAACTACAGCAACCCTGCTGGATCTGACCAAAGGCTTCTCTAGTTATCTAGTCTAGTTTCCTGTTTCATGTGGCAGACTCCATGGTTTATATGCACTTTCTAGCTTTTTCCTTAGTCACCCACCAGTCTGTTTCTTTGGAAGCTTCTGGGTTTTTCCTGTATAGTAAGAGAAAAAGAAAACCTTCCTATCCACACCATGCACTATATTATAAGTCATGACCTGTGCCTTTCTAAAACAAAGGCTCCAAGCCTTGAACTTTTGCTCCACATCACTTAAGGATATAATTTTCGAGACAATTTCCAATATCTTTTCTGGACTATGGCAACCAGAACGGTACACAGAATTCGAAGTGCAATTTCACCACAGAGTTATACAAAGAGCTTACAATAAAGACCTTTTTTGGTACCATTCGGAACAATTTCCTTCCTAATGCTCCTTTTAAAACAGAATGTAAGCTTTTGAAGGGAGCTGTTTAACTTAGAAACCAGGTGGTTGTCTCCTTGGCTGACAGAAGCAGCAACTGCCCCAAATGAACAGACAAGTGACTGAATGCCAGATGAAGGAGTCATATACTGTTCAGAACAAGGAAGTTTTTATTAATGCTGCAGGTCCTGCTTCTCTCAGACTCTGGCAAGAGACAGCAGGAACAGCTATTTCTGGTTAAGACAAAAGAAGAACTGCTGGGGCAGGTGGGAAGGAAGGAAGGGATGGATAAAGGATTTGATGAGAAAGACAAGAGATAAGGAAGAGAGATGCATTTAAAAGAAATGTCTTCAGTGATGAATTAAATAAAACTACATTCTGTAGTTTAGAACTTGTTTCCCATCATAGTCTCTCCCCACCCCAGGGCACTGAGACGAGGCACCCACAAAAGGGTGGATGTGAGTGTCCAGGGATTTTAAGCCAGGGTTGGGCAATTCTGAGGGGGCAGGGGGTCACTTCCCCCAACCCTCCCATGGATCGCAATCCTGTTGTTACCCCATTGCTCCAATTTGGTGGTGTGAAGGCAAACATTTCTGAATAAAATTGGTGGTTTTGGTGGCAAACCAGTATGGAGGGTTAGAAATGACAAAGTTTGCTTGTTTTCAAAAATCTGCCCGTTTTCCACTGGATGACAACTCTACAGAAATTTGAGAACTGCCGATTTACTCAAACAACTAAACATGTAATGTGGCATAAACACTTATTACTGAAATCTTTGGTTTCTAGCATATCATTTAAAATATAGTGTGTGCAAAAACACAAATTACAAGACATGATTAGTACGCTTGATTTTTGGGGTGGGTGGGGTGGGTGTGCCCCTGTGCTTGGAAAGCTGAACTAAAACTTTTCATCTCTACATTTACTTTTTTATGAACTGAAAGGATCACCATTTCTTCATGGATTTCTTTAAGTAAGAAATTATCTGTATATGTCTGGCTTTAAATTAAAAAGTGGCTAGCCATATGCCAAAGGAGGCTACACATGCAGCTAATTATCACAGGCTCTCTCAAACTCTGAGATAACCACTTGTCCTAAGATCAAATCCTGACCACACCACACTTGTACACTATGATTTTGAAGCCTTTCAGAAGTCACTTTTAAAATGGTGAAGTCTTCTACAGAAATCACAACAAAGAATGATGCAACATTAAAAAGTCAAAATGTAATTCCTGTTTTGGTGAAAGTTTTTATAGCTCAGCTGGTAGAGCACCTTCTTGGTATGCAGAAGGTCCCAGAATCAATCCTTAGCACCTTCGTATGCAGCCAGGGAAGAATTCGGCCTGAAGTCCTGGAGCACTGTGGCAGTAATTTCTGACAGCCCCTGGGCTAGATGGACCCCTGGGCTGGCTCAGAGTCAGGCAGCGTCCCATGTTCTTCTACAGAACTCCTCCCTGGCACTTAGAAGACAGGCTATGTTGGAGCTTGACAGCAGAAAGCACAACATGATGGATAATGTTCAGTTGGGCAGCTGTTACGCAACTAGGTAAGCTCCCAAGTACTTTTCGTATTTACCTCTCATCCCTTAGCTATAGAGGTGTGTACATCTGTGTGTGTGTGTGTGTGTGTGTGTGTGTGTGTGAGAGAGAGAGAGAGAGAGAGAGAGAGAGAGAGAGAGAGAGAGAGAGAGGGGAGAGAAGACAGACAGACAGACAGACAGACAGACAGACAGAGGATGCAATCCATTCCAAGTAGACAAGCTTAGAGGAGATATGACCGCATATAAAGGATTAACCAGAAGCAAAGGAGACAGGCTCTCCTAGAGAAAGATTCTCTCTCCTACTCTGCTACTGCTCATATTCATTTCATTTCATTTCATGAATAATGAAATAAACTAAGACAAGAAATAGGAAGAGTTCCAGTTAAGTCCTGGGAAGACGGTATGCTATACATTTACTGAATATTTGAATGAGATTACTTCTTACCCTAATGAAACCTAGGTGTTGGAAAAAATAAGATGTAGAGCAGTCTCCAGGGAAAATCCAGACCATGGTCTTAGCTAGTTTCTAATGTTCTGATCCATGCATCCAATTGCTGTAAGATGCATGTGATGAATCCCTGAATGATTTCCACTGATTCCTTGGGGATCTGCAGGTAATTCTAAAAAATTACGGCATCAGCAAAGCTAGGGTAGTCTGTACAAAGACAGAAATGCAGAATCCTTCCCTCTTCTAGCACTTTTGCTTTTTTACTAACCTGTCAAACTGGTTTTCCTATGAGGTATTTTCTTATCAGTACACCATTGTATGCAGCAATGATTAAATTTCAAATAAAAGCATATTATTAAAAGGTTTAGCATGCTGGATCTCACATTACTGAAATGGAACAAAATCTAATTATGTATGCATGGAAAAATATATAATCACCTTGCTCAAACGAATTTTTAATATCATTGACTTCTACCTGGGAGCCAGATACTCTGAAAATGCCTTGGTGCTGAAGACCTGAAAACAAAGTAATAAAGAATATTTCAAATTAGATTGGTGCTGATGATTCAATCTAGCTCAAATGAGAAAAAGGAGGATATGTTATTTAGTGATTAGTTTTCTTTCCTATTTTTTAGCCACCAGATCATCAAGGCATTTTGAAATACACTTCTGCCTTCTTTTTACCTCCATCTCTCTATACAGCTTACTCTGGAGTAAGAGCAGCCTCCTTTCAACTGCTCTTGCCCCTTTGCATTATTCACTCATGGATTCTGTAACTTTAGTGTCCACATTCCAGGTAATTCCCTTCTTGCTATTGTCTTTCCCCAATCCTACAGGCTTCATGCTATGTCTATTCTTTTCCTACATGTCATTCCTGGCCAAGCCTAGTTTCCTTATGCTAGTGTGCACCACACTTTATTACGGGATCCTCCTTGATTTAACATTAAAGCTTTACATCCCTCCCTAGTTGTAATTAGGAAATGATTCAAACATTTAGCGAAAAGCTTAAGCTCAGTATTCTTAAGGAAAAAACAACAATGATGAAGTAAAATGGCATTTTTAAAAATTTTAAAAATTAATTTTCAATCTAGAATACAACCAATCCCCACCCCCGCTGGCCCTGACAAAAACACATGGCATTTTGAAACTCACCATACAAGTTGATAAATCGGATGCAGCTTTCTACTATAAGGGGGATTACTTGCCCTGAGTCCTGGTAAGGGAAAATAACCAAAAACATTCACCACAAATAATTCGAGAGAGATTAATTCTGCAAATAGGAATTATTATTAAGGAGTCATAGCCTTTCACTTTCAAATCCACAATAAGCTGAAAGTCTAACTTGCAATCACACTTGTACCAATGATGCATTGTGAGTATCAAAGGTTATTATTTAGCTGTTCTGAAAGACCTGGGCAAATGAACTAGAGATAAAAACACAAATAAATAAATATATCCAAAAAACAAAATGAAACACCACCAACCAAGAAAACCAAACAACCAAAAAACAGCTTTCTAAAATTAATTATCTTCTACAGTTTTATCAGGAAATGAACAGTGATGCACAATACACATTTATTGGGGTCAGCTAGTTAGGCCTGACCAAATTTGATAACTGCTACCTTAAAAAATGGGATTATCTGTTCGCTAAAAGAAAGCGTGTGCTGGCTTGCCATTTTGTTTTGAATGACTATAGTCTAATGAAGATCTAACTTTCACTAGACCAGGTATAGGCAGAAGGAAGTCTACATTAGACCGTTTTTAAACTCATATTTATTATTTATTTTAATGTTAGCATTATATATCCCCTTACATGCTCAAAAGCCATCAACAGTGTACAATGACTTAAAACAGCAAAGCTGCAAAATAATAAATAGCATTAAATATACAAAACATTAAACTACATATTTTAAAAGGTAAAACTGGAAACTGTCTATTTACACCTTTTTTAAAAGATAATGCAGTGTGAAATCAGACTGGTGGTGATGACTCAGGTAAAATAAAACAAAATATGGGGATGTCATAGTTTCTACCCTGTTTTTCTACAGCCAGTCAATAGTCCTTGTGGGAGACTATTCCATACACTGCAATCCATACAGGAAAAAAGCCTTTTCATGTGTGCCTGACAAATGGGACAGTGTATGTGATGGTGCCCTCAAAAAAGTCTTTCCTACACACAGCTGGGCAAGTGAGAACTTAGCCAAGTTTCAAGCTGTGTAGAGTTTTAAAGGTTACAACAGAAACCTTGAATAGTTTCCGGAAAGAAACTGGCAACTCATGCAGGTCTTTCAAGGCAAGTGTAAAAGAGACATTTTAAATATCATTTATACTGATATCATATTGCTATGGTTTAAAAATTGTTTTTAATTGTTGTGAAACTCTCAGAAAACTTTAGATATTGGGTGATATGGGCACATAATACATACATATGTTTAAGCAATTACTTAACAGTGGACTGATGGGCCATCCTACCACCTGATCAACCAGGAAAGTGCGTGGAAGGCAATTTTCAGAAATTCAGTGGTTCACTGAACCTGCACTTCTCCAAAATCTGATCAGTCAGCATGGCAGTCGTAGGTACAGGCAGCTGCAGTGGGGAAGGAAATTGCCAAAAACTGCCTTTCTTCTTATTCCACTTTAAAAGAGCATTCAGTCAGTGGATGGGCACCACCTGGATACAAGCCATGATTTTGGCATGATGCCTCCTGATCCTGCCAGTTTGTTAATCAGTCAATGGATCACCATAATCCAAATGTGAATTACAGGCATGAACTGCATGTACTGAAGACCCACAAAGTCATTTGTTGTGGAAATGCTACTAATAGTATATTGCACTGATACTCTGCCTTTCTCCCTCTTGCAAGGAACCTAAGGTGGCTTGCAAAGTGACTTCTCTCCATCCTCACAAGAATCCTGCAGTGTAGGTTAGGTTGACCCAGTGGGCTTCATGATGACTAGCCTAGATTTCCTGAAGCCAAGTCAATCACTCTTAACCACTATACCATACTAGCTTTAAGAGTAGAAGAACCCTCAAGACATTAACCCTAAAAGTATTAAATAAATATTAAATGTTTAATAGGTTATTAAGTTCAACAAAATCTACCATAGGACTCAAGTTTAAGGGAACTATTTATTTATTCATTTGCATCTTGTTGTTCCTCTTGACATATTATGTTCTCCTATTGGGCCACCACATTTCCAGGGCAAGCATGTGGAAAAGACAAATATTTCTAAAATGCACATCTTTGGAGCCATTGCAGCTGCGGATGAAGTATGACTTCATACGGCTTATAGGTGGCTCAGATCCAGGAAAACACAAAGGACTTTTGTTTGTCTTTCCTACATGATACCACACACTGCCTACAAATCTTTCCTGAATTTAAAAAGCAGCTTATACTATAATGCAAGCAGAGCAGATTGCCAGAACTACTACTGAGCAGAAGGTAACAACAGTCTTACTACATTAACTAAAACTTGTAAAGGGGTACTGTGGATCATGGATGCTGTTTTGGCTTCTTTTATTGGATTCCATCAAAGTGCTAGGCACACACTGCCTCTAATTTAGAGTTCCACTAGAATAAGGGCAAAAAATTGTGACATGCCTCTTTCATGTCTGAACGCAAGCCATTCCCAATAATTGAGACACAACAGAAAAGTCAAGCAAAATGAATGCAGCACTTTTAATTTACTAGCATGGTACCTGATGTCTGGTATGGGAGTTTCTCCGTCCTCTGCTACAGGTATTACCGGGGGGGGGGGGGGGGGAGGACAGAAAAATAGGATGCAGTCTGTAAATATAGCAATCACAAAATACAGAACCATGCTTCATGAAGCATAAGAAGTTCCTAAAATCATGGAAAACAAGACCACTTATGGACTTTCAGAACCAGTGCAGCACAGTGCAATGCAGTTCAGTGCAGTATTACAAGAGACTCTCAATAACTCTTCAAAGAGGGATTGCCAAAGCCTGCTTTCAAGCTGGCTTTTACACTCTGGAGGGGGAAAAAGAAGAAAGGAGGAAACAACCAATCAGTGCCAGCTGCTGCCCAGTTCCGCGTGAGCTCTTGTGGGGCAGCTGGCACTGATGGGTCGCCTGGGCATGAATGACAAGAGTAGAAAGGGGAGTTTGCTGCCTTTGCCAAGTGGATCCCTGGTACCCCTGATGGTGTTGGTTACTTGGGTTCAAACAACATGGTAATTTACTGGGGGTACCACAAGCTCTGTGTGTCGTGAGAATGGAAATCTGTCCAAGCAATCCATTGTAGATAACCGTGCACAATGGGTTACCATGTGAACCCAGCTATAGGATATCCTACAAACATAAAATAATATCCTTTCAACCAGTGGAGTCCTCCACAAAGAGTTTTGTTAGACTGGAAAAATGAAGGGACTAAGCCCCAAAACAGTAACCTGTATATATGGAATACTAACTAGGTGCAAGTGTGAGGACCTGTAGTGATTATATGTTATCTTGATTATATGTTATCTTGGCTCTTCTCTCTACTCACCTACCCATCTGCCAGCCTTGTGGGCCTTTGTAAGCCTGCTGCCAGAGAAAGATGGGCATGGGGATTCAGGTTAAATGTTTTAAGATTCTACTACTATATAGTATTTCAATAAAATAAAACAGGGCATGGTTCTGCTCACCTGTATGAAGGGAAGGAATCAATCTATGTAGTCCTTCTCCAAAAAGGGCAGCCCAGCCTTCCAGATGGAAGATACCAGTTTGGAAAAGGCAGGGCAAGCCTATGTCAGTCATGTACTTAAGAGAAGCAAGACTACTTATAGAGCTGATATGCTCCACTCCCCATCCTGCTCCTTCCTAGACACAGCTTAGGATGGTTGATGCTTATTAAGGGTTTGGGCTTCTCTCCAAAGATGCCACCCTCGGCAAGGTTGTACCACATGCACTTCTTCTCCCAAGTGCTGCCTGGATTCAGCTGAACTTAAATTTATTCCAAACACTCATCAGCTGAACAGAAAGAATGGCCTGGGTTCCGGAGGCTGGTGTCCCTGCTTGGAAATCTAGAAATACCTGTCACAGGTATATGCATGGCTGACAAGGAAGATCCATGTTTGTGCTAAGCACTGAGCCAGAATTCAGATGCCAGTGACAGTTATTGGAGTCCACTTGAACATATGGACTAGATGCTGAAATGAAAAATACCCCTATCCTTTTGGAACGTTCACTGCAGACTTGTAAATCGAGCAAACAAAGAAACAAGCAAACAGCAGTTTGTTCATTTATTGCCATTACAGTTTTCTGTAATATAGAGCACGTAAGCTTTCAGTGTCTTACCTTGTGGTCATAAATTCAGCTCTATGACCTGAACAAAAAGGGAACAACAATTTTAAAAATAAGGGAACTCAAGACTTTCCCACAGAACTATACACACAAAATGCAAGTTATCGTCAATCCCAAGTTATTTTTAACTGCACCCTTTCACATTTACTTCACAAGATTTTTCCCTACACACTGAGGAAACCGAATCTCATTTTGAAAGCAAGTTTTAAAATATTCACAGGTAAAGCTGCTATTTTAAAGCATCACTCTGATAGGAATTAAAGGTTTTTATGCTGTATGTTAAGGAAAACTAAATTTCAAGCAGTCTTCCCAGCCTGTGCTTGCATATTTTAATGAGCTATTCAAAGTTTAAATAAAGAGAAAAGCTTGCTAAAACTAGGAGGCACATTGCCAAAAGACATAGTTAAAAATGTATAGCTCTTAGATGTAGTTGTAGTTAGGAGAGTAAATATTTAATGCATGCCACATAAGAATGTGTAACTTCATATTCAGTAATGTAAACACCTGGTGTACATTAGCCCAGCACTGCTGCTATGTGCCTTTCGTTACTTTCAATAGGCATGAAGTTTGCCATGGGCTCTTCTGAAATGAAGAGGGCTTGTAGGCTTGCACCCTAGGACAAGATTTTTTGCATTACACATGCATAAAGGGAGGGGGGGGGCTGTGATTCAATGTGTGCTAGTTTACCAAATCAGTAGAAGCCACTTCAGTATTACCCTAAATAAACACAATTATGGTAATTAGGTGGCAGAGCTCTTCAAGTAAGGCTTTAATTCTTGCATATACTGCATATATATTTCTGCAAAAACAGTTAAGGTTCAGTTGATGAAGCAGTGATTTAAAAAGAGATATCTAAATTAGTGGTTCTAACTCTGCTCCACCCATGTTTGGAAGGCTTTCATTAATGTGCAAAGTTGCTATTTGTGCTCATAAAGGACTATCCAGATTTTGTTTAACAACATTTATGCTTGCATATCAAGGGAATTGTCACCACGTTTCCATAAGCATGACTCCATTTGGGTAGGGGAAAAAGCACCAAAGCACATAAACTTGGCTTAAAAATTGCTATTAAATTCTTTTGATTCATATAGGTCGATCCTAAGAAATGAAACAGAGCAAACTAAAGGAAATACTTGTGTAGACAGCAGGAGACACAGGAAGGAGATACAGACAGGCAGGAATTAAATTCTGTAGGTATAGCTGTTATTTTTAAACTTGTTTTTGCAAGGCTGCAGTAAGCATGATTATTAATCCAACTGCAAAGTATGAAAGAGACATTTTCTGTGATTCATAATGCAGAAATCCCACTGTTACAAGAATTACTCTACAAGGAACCTGTTTCTAAGTGCAAGACACATTTCTTCAATAATGATGATGAATAAACCGGTAACACCATGCTAGTGCACAGAAAGTTTGTAATATATTCTGCTCGTTATGAGGTACTATTTTAGCCCACAGAGAACTTGTTAATAAATACTATAGCAGAAAATGCAAAATAATGCTATTAAGAATGTAATAAACATCACGACTCCTAGGAGTGATGATACACAAACTAGGTCACATGTGGCTTTGCATGTTGGGATGCTAATTCTGCCAAATCAAAGCTTCTCCATTTTCTTTTTCATCTCATCTTGCCTACTCAATGTTTAAAATAAGTTTTGCAATAATTAGTAAAATTTTTCCCAAAAGAAATACAAATTGTGGTCATATAAACAAAATTAAGTATTGCTTTTAATGGTTGGTTCTATGTTTTGTTTTCTTTTATTGAAAAAAGAAATAGAAGATTCCTGTGATGACTAGGACTGTCAGGATAACAAACCACAGTTTGGCTTCTTTTCATTGTAGTTTAAACAACCCATAGTTTGTTTAAATTCACATGTCATAGGGTACTGAATCAAATTTAAACTGGAGAATGGGCATATTTAATGTCCTCTTCTGTCATGGATGGAAAATTCATGACAAAGATCATATAGGTCTAGTCACATAGAGAGAACCCATACTTTCTTGTTGACTCTGTCTATCTACATATGTTCTGTAAATATTCCAGCAGTTTCACTATGCTATTTATTCTGAATCATTTACCTTCTGCAAGTGTTCGCTGCAGTAAATCATGCTTTGCTTGAAGCTTTGTGATAAGATTACTTCCCTCCAGGTACTCTCTGAATTTCTAGGAAGATATAGATCAATGAATTTATGTCTGAATATTTGGTATCTAAATTTTAAGGACTTTGAAAAAGCAATTTCAGGTCAGATCAGATCAGATCAGATGGCGGGAAAGCGCCCAACATACCATGAAATAGAACTGTTCAGTCTCCTGCTGATTAGCTCTTCTTTTAGCAATACTGGGCTTGCTTAGGTAGGTCTCAGAAACTGTTGACTTCACAGACTCAGTTGAGCGACTATGCTGGAAACATTCAGAAACATCATAGTCCTCAATGGTGACCATGTCTTGTATTGTCTGCAAAGTGGCTTCAGTTGTCTTCTTCACCTGTTGCCGAAAAGTCATTTCATTTCATCAAATAGAAATACAAGTAAAATATATTCCAGAAAGAGCACAAAAACGGTTATAATAAATGTTTAAAATTCAATAAAGGTGGCTGCTGATGTTTTTTTAAAAAATACCAAAACTGAAGATTAACCAAAACTTACAGAAAAGCCAACAAAACCTGGTAGTCTTCAGAGCCTTCCTGGAGACTTGTAAAACATGGGCCTGACGAACACCTAAGAGAATGGATTCTACCACTGAGAAAATCTTTCCCTTTTCATCACTAGTCTAACTACCACTGACAAATAAGAAAGGCCTCTGCTTGAGATCTCAGAGTGCATGCAGGCTGATATGGGGAAATGCTGATCTTCAAGCAATCTGGCCCAAAGCCATTTAAGTCTTAAATATTAAAACCAGCACTTTAAATTGCACTTAGATATGCAGTGGCAGTCAGTGCACAGTATTGGTAGCACATTAGCCATCTGCCCAGGCCCTACTAATATCTGGGCAGCCATATTCTACTCCAGCTGAAGTTCTGGAACCGTATTCAAAGGCAGTCCCACATAAAGTGTGTTACAGTAGTCCAGTCTGGGCATTACCAGAGGATGAATAAAGGCAACATCCTTCTAGTCCTGTTCCTTCCTCTCCAGTATCACCTTACACTGTTCAAGTAGAAAGGATCAGACCCATAATAACTTCATTCCTTCTATGTCCAACCTAGATAAACTATCCAAAGGTTCTAAACTAGATTCCTTCAAAAGTGGCCTCACTTATTGCTTCACTAAACCTAGGACCATCACTTCCCTCAAGTTAAACAATTAAAAAAGCATTAATTATTTTTTGAGGTCCAAAAAACCAGCTTAGCCCTAGTTGATTTTGCAAGCCAAGATGCATAAATGTCCAGGCAGCAGGTGGTCGGTCGCAATCCTCAAGACTGACTCATGTTGAACAAGTTGAAAGATATCCTTGATAACATGGCTAGATGGCACTCTAGTTACATCCAGCTTTGACTGGGAAAAGAGTGGGTCAGTCTGCACAATCAAATTGTGAAGTAACACGTAGTCCCTTATGTACCTGCCAGGACCCTAAGATCATCTTCGGGGGTCCTTCTCCAGGAGCCCCTCCAAAGGAAGCATAAGGGTTAGCTACCACGAGAAGGGCCTTTTCGGTTGTGGCACCCTGACTCTGGAATGAGCTCCCCAAAGAAGTGGACGTGGAGCCTACTCTCTCCTCTTTTCAGCAGCAGGTGAAAATCTTTGTATTTGCTTAGTATTTTAATAGTTTTTTTAAATCTTAGTTTTTATATTGTATTTTTGTACTACTGCTATACCTCTACACTGACTGGATTGCAACTGCTGTGGTTTTATTGTTCTATTGTTTTGTATGTTATTCTTTTTGTTTATATGCTTTGAACTTTTGTTAACCACCCAGAGCGCCTTGGACTATTGGATGAAATAAAAATAAAATAAATAAATGTTCAAAAAGCCCACTATTGCCTATTTTAATCATGATGAATTGCACATACTGGAGTCCATTTTGAATATTTAGCCATGACTGCGGCTTGTCATTTTGTCTGAATCTTGGGGGCAAGGGTTCTGTGAGGGTTAAACAACACTCACACAGCCATAAAACATACCACTGTTTCTGCAATGGTTGTTCAATGCTCACAGAACCCATGGCTCCAGGTCTAACAACATGACAGGCGTGAGTGTGCTGCAGCTAAGTGAGATTTTAGGAGGCCACAATGAGCTTTGGTAATTGAGAAAACATGGTCAGTGCCATTTATATGACATGGGTATGAGAGACTTATCTGCAAAATGTCCAACAAATGGATCACAGCAGACGATTGAGGGTTCAAGTTGTTGCTTTCCAAGGCTTGGGTGGCAAAGGATCTTCACTACCTAAAAGCACTCTTTTGGGTAAGGGTGAGCAGATGCAACAGTGGTGGAAAAGTACATTTTTTGCCATAGTGCACCAAATATAGCTAACAGATGTTCATCCACCACTAACAGATGAAATCTATTCTTCCCTGTCTTTTGTGGTTATTTTTAGATTGCAAAGCTCTTGAGACAGTGTCCTGTCTTTTATTGCCTCTGTAAAGTGGCATGTACTGAGATCGTATAATAACAATAATTTGTCATTTATTTATAACTCAGAAATATACTCTGCTTTCCATAGAAGTATCAAACCAGTGAAAATTAAGTATAACACTATCACAACAACAATAAAATATATCAATAGCATAGAGCAACAAGGAAAATGTTAATCTGCAGTACAACTGCACAATCTATTGCATGCTGCAGAATATTGCAAAGCTGGGTCACAATTCAGGAAAAGCCTGTGTGAAGAGATGGACATTTAGAAGACATCTAAACATCAAAACCATCAGGGCTTGTTTAAGGACAGTAAGCAAAGTGTTCCAGAATGAGTGTACTGCAACACTAAATGTTCTACTGCAAGTGCTGCTGAGGCAAACTTCAACTTGCACCTTCCAGAAGTGCTTACTCTGACTATCACAGAGATTGGGCAGGGTGAATGATCCCCAAAGCAACTTGGTCTCAAATATTTTAGAGTTTTATGTTAGTAACAACACCCTAAACTCAGTCTGGTAGCTTATTGACAGCCAGTACAGTTCTTTTTGGGAAAATATCACTATTGTTAGAAAGAAGTCCCAGTTAGTAGCTTCAATATTACGTTTTGCACCAGCTGCAGCTTTCAGACCAAGGTCAAAGGCTGCCTCACAAAGAATGCATTGCAATAATCTACTCTTGATGTTACCAATGTCTAAACCATTGCAGCTAAACTATCTGTAGCTATCATAGTTCAAGGATGGCTGTAGAGAAGAGCTGAAGTTGGAAAAAGACATTACTAGCTACCAAGGCTCCTTGAGTCTCCAGTGACAAAAACTGAACCAGTATCCCCAAACTATGCACCTATCTTTTCAAGCAAAGTACAGCTTTACCAAAACAGGTAACTGATCTATTTTCTGGATCTGTGACCTAGCCAAGATTCAAATTCAGTTTATTAGTTCTTATCCAGCCCACTGCTGCATCCAAGCACTAGTCCAGAGCTGGCATTGCCAGTCTTGATGCAGATGTCGTAAGTGCCGGATGATGGTAGATAAAGTCATGCCATGCACCATCCTACACAGCGACTTCCATGGAGCTGAGGTATACTCCTCTGACACAACTTTCTGAGTGTGTAAGTAGGAAAGGATTACTGAAGTACAGTGCCCCCAGTATCCATCCCACAAAGCTGATCTAAGAGGACACCATGAATGATGGTATGAAAAGGTACAGAGAAATTGAGTAAGAGGAACATGACTGCACTCCCTCTATAAATGAAGACCACTCAACAGTACAGTCCATGCCTGAACTGGAATGGGTCTAGATAATTGGCTTCATTGAAGGATGAATGCTGGCAGAAAGTTCTTCCTTGTCAACTGTCTGGCAACCAATGTCAAAACATAGGGTTATTACAATAAATGTATTAAAACTTTACCAATGAGTAATTAATATTTTGTAAAACCACAGAATGAACCCCATACATGGATTTAACAAAAAAATAAAGATACTTTTACCATCAAAAAATCTAAGAAAGTTGAGCCCAGGGAAGCCTAGGTAAAGTAGCCCCATTCTTAATTGCATGCCCTAAGTTTTTGATATCACAAAGACAACCATTTCTTGTACAGCACAGGCAGAAGCAAATCTTACCTCCTCATTTTCAATTTTCAATGTGGTCAGTCGGGACTGAAGCTGCTGATACCGAAGCATGAGCTCCCCTTGGACTGTCTGCTGGGCACTGACCTGAGAAACCTAATTAACAGAATGTAAAACAGAGACATTAGCTGCAAATATGGGCAAGGATGAAGGAAGCTCATGAACGCAAGCACCTATCATTCTGTTTAAATACAATGTATCTCTTCTCCAATTTTCAGGATATAACATAACACAAATTAAGTTGATTATGATACTTTTGGTTGAAGGAGGACAATTAAGAGTCTTATTAAATGAATACTCTTGTATACATACACTGTGCTGGATATGGAAAGTTTTTAAATCATTACAGGCATGTGCATGTGAATACTGACAGAAGACTATGGTATTCATCACCATGACTGGCCAGGCACTGTTCAACGAGAGCTGATTAGAGCTCTATATGAAAAGGAATGACAGAACTCCTAGGAGATAATTTCATCTTTCCCCTAGCACAACTCGAAGCACTATGGAAATGCAAAAAAAGTTAGCCCAGAGACCATGGCTAGACACACCAAACTGAATGTGTGCACCATAGGCAATCTTATATCACCTCTAAGTTATCCTCCCCCTGCCCCCAGGATCTCAGGGGAGATTATGCAGAATGTGCTTGTGGCTGCTCTGATCAAGGTTGTCTTTATAAGAATGGTATAAAATAGAAATTTCCGCTCCCCACACTTACATGCTGAAAGCTATTTGGACAAGCTGCAAAAAGTTTACCAGTGTTGTGGCAGAATTCAATACCCAATAATGAAAGGTTCATTTGGCATGGGATTTGTTTAGAGCAGCTGGCAAATTAAGTTCTACACAAACGATTTCTGAATAGTGCTCTTGATGTAGTTTGTTTGCTGATCTTCTTGCGTCTCTATGAATAATACTGGCCCTCATTTTACCCTAACTAGACTCTTTGTTCAAATGGATAAAGGCTAGATACTAACAAAAAAAGGAAATCAGAATTCACAAAAAAGGGATCTATGCACAAAAAGAAATTTGTTTGGATTTTATCCTTTCCCACCTATAAAAGTGTCACCAGCTACTTACTTCATCACCCATATGGGGTTGGAACTCAAATCTCACTGGAGGACAAAAGGCTGCAGGATACATCTCCATGAATCTCTGCTTGTCACTTCGTGGTTCCAAGTTGTCAACAGCACTCTCAATGATGTCCAGACCCTCATGCCGAGATGTTTCAAGGTTATATTCTGCAGAAAGATACGTTCTTAAGGCTCTGTTCAGGCTTGCATGATATCCAAGATCGCAACACTACCAGAATATGAAGAAGAAGAAGAAAATATGTAAAAATAAGTAGAAAGCAAATGTTGAAACCATGACCAAAAAATCTTTAATGCTTGGTAAGACTAATTATCAGTAGTAAAACTTTTCAAGTGCTAATTAATCTTCACAATAGCAACAATCTGAAAATGCGCATTATTTTAGATTATAGAAAAATTGGATCAAAGTAACTTAACAATGGAACAAGGACAGTATTCTAATTACAAATCTGTCTTTGTATTATCCTAACTTAACCCTATGTTATTAAAATAAATAAAAGACTGTACATAGTATATGCCTTTTTATCAATTCTTGTGTAAGAAAAAATCTTAAATGAAAGCCAAGTTACCAAAGGTATAATGCATTATTCGCATAAGAATAAATTCATGACAAATTGTCATCATGATCAACCCTTTAGTACCAGCATACATATCTATGATAGATGGAAGTTAATGTCAGAAAATATAACATTATTCTCATACACAGGTATTTTAACTATGCATGCCAGCATTGATTGCTAGGGTTGAGACTATACTTTCTAAAGTACTCTAATGAAGACAGGCACATTTTTTTGCCTTTTCTGAGAATATTTTGGTATACCAACTAAATTTCCATCAGTCTAAACAATTACTTGCAGACTTTAGAAGTCTTAAAATCAGAAGATTGCAGATAACATCGGAAAGGTATTTTAATCACTTTGTATTTCAGCTACAAGTGAAGATGTGAAAAGTAAAATGATAACTTGCAATTCTAGTCTAAAACAGCAGAATGAGTCCATGTTATTGCTACCTATTTAGCTCCCTAGATTTGTTATTAAATGTTCCCTTTAGTTTAAATGCCTTTAAGTCATATTTTAGGTTTATGACAGCTACTTAAGCATGTTTATCCTCTGAAGCAGTATTCCTCACAGAAACAGTAACATTCTTCAAATAGCAACAATTTAATTGGGAAAATACAACAGTTAATTCATCCAGATGTTGCACTGCAGAGAAAGAAACTGCACATAAGAAATATCTTTCAGAAACAAAAAACTGCTTCTCAAGAAAGCCTTTAAGTTTGATTCAGCCTTCAGTCACCATAACAGAACACCTTTCAGATGCTTCAAGCGGCAGATTTTCCAGAATTTCCCAACTACAAATTTCTAGAAACAAGAGTGTCTGCACAAAAGGATGATATTCATTGAAGAAACTGAGGGTGGCCACGGCTGTGGCCCTGGCACAACAGACAGAGAGAAGAGCACATGTGCAGAGGCTAGTTTAGAGCTTTCCTCAGTTGCTTCCTTTGGCAGTTAAGTCCTGTTCTGTCACTAGAACTCCTTTCAGCACATACAATGAATGCAAAGATGGCAGGTTGGGGTAGGCTCCATTCCATGCAAGCTCAAACACTAGTATATCCTTTGTGTGTGTATGTTTGTGTGCTCATTGGGGGAAGTGACTGCTGCTGTAGATCATCTGTATGTTCATTGTACACACTGAGAAGAGACTGAAAAATTGAACAGGATTTTATTGTTAAGGGTATTATCACAAAGTCTTTGTGCAGATATACTTCCAAAGTTTAGAGGATTAGGAATGTGCTGCTTTCTCCATTCAGCCAGACAAATATGTCCCAATTCTATGTTTTTTTTTTTAATTGTATCACAGTACAGTATGGGTTAGGGAATTACATTGTAATCCAGTCTTTCTGTGTGATGTCACAGATTTCTATATGCAAGGAAGTGGGAAGTATAATAGAAAGAAAAGCATTTTAACCACCACCCCCCTTGTATGGTGGTACACTCTATTCCACCTTATTCCCATCTCAACCTGCTACATCTGTAGATGAGCCCAGAATGTGTCAGTGCTAGAATGCTGTGAAACATTGCTACTTTAGTGAAGGAAGCAACTGACCAATTTGATTCAGAACTGACACTTGCGTAAAACCTCTACAGGAAGAGCACATAGTGTTGGGGATAACAGGCAGGAATCCCTTCAGTCATACTGGAAAGTGGTGGATCTAAGTGAGCAAGGTGGGTGTGCCCAACTGTGATTTCTGTCTAGTTCCTCAAACCAGCAGATCTTTTCATTATAACCAGGCCCTTTCATGGAAGTTGTCCAACCTAACTACATAAGGGGTACCAGCGTATTCCAAGAGACTTGGCTTTGCCCATGCCATGGTCTAGCCTTGCACTCACTACACTTTGCTTAACCTTTACCCCAATAAAATGGCTATATGATACCTATGTGAAGGTTTCAGGTGGGCTTCCACATCCTCTTCATAGGGGACGCCTACATCAGAGATGGTCTCCTTGTTTCTTCCAAAGAGTATGCTGGGAGTTGAACCAGGACTAAGAAACGTGCAGCTGGCAAGGCATCTGACTCTTTTTTCTCTCTTCTGCTTATATCTGACACTTCCTGCTTATAAGCAGGGCTCAACAACCTCTTTAAAAAACCAGACTCAAACTTCCAATTTATTAGCATTTAACTAGCCAGCTACCTATGAATATTTAGTTTTCAGCTGTACTTTGGAGATTCCAATGCACATTTGTAAAGCAAAACTTAGGACTTTTTGCTTGAACATTTACTACTACAGAACCTTATAGCCTCTCAAAACAGACCTTAATCTGAGTTTAACACTGTATTGCCTTTCAGTTATTTCCTTCTTTTTGTGTGTGTAGTAAGAGATCTTTTGCAGAACTAATTACCCTGACTGGAATGGTAAAAAGGCAATGACAATAAGAAAGAAGGTCAGTCCTGTTGTTTCCTTGTGTGAATGTTACTTCTAGAATGAACTCAGGGTGACTTAAGCCCAGCAAGGAAGAATTAATGTTTAAGATTGGCAAAATTACTGTATCCCTAAGATAGGGATGTATCTATAAGGTAGAGATAACAATTAAATTTCCAACCTTTCCCCCACTATACTAACAAATCCACTACAGAATGTCTTCCCCAAGGAACCTCTGCTTTAGTGTTATTGCAATGTTTCATGTTTGAGTAGTCCCTTTAGGGCATAATCCTAAACTGAAGATTCAGTATTTGGCCAGGGGAACGCAAAATAGACCATTGCTTTAACAGATATGCCACCACCATGACTGATATGCCAGCACAACTCTGATATGCACCAGCAAACTATCTAACACTGTGCAGTGTCCTTGGCGGGACATGAGCAGCAGAGGGGAGAAGCATATTCACAACTACACTGTGTCTTCTATCACTTCAATCCGTGCCCCACTGGCAATGGAACTTTACATCAGCCCAAGACCTGCTGCAAGAAATTTCCCTCCCATTCAAGTCAATGCAGAGGAATTAAAGAATACCCACCCGCCCCTGACAACCACCCCTTTTTGTTGTTGCTTTCCTTCTCCTCTTTGTTTATTGCTATACTGTTGTGCTACAAAAACAAACAAAAGCTGTCCCGGCTATCTCACTAGAACAGAGCACAGGATATGGTATGACACATCATTCATTCAAAGTACATCAATACTTGTGATTAGGATGTGTGGCACTGGGCTGTATCTCTCTGGCCTTGAGCATGTACATACTCAAGAAGTCACAAGGGGCAATTGTAGCAATGGGAGACTGTAGCAAAAGAGCACTTTGCACAAAAATAGAGCATGTCACACAAAACACTATGGCCTCTCAGTATGCATGGAAACTGGAAAACACTGCCGATGCATCTCTTCCTAAAATCCTAACAGATATCATGCCTTGAGACTCCCAAGTACCATCATCCAACACCAAATGCCAATCCAACAGCTGGGGATGCCAGGACTGCGCAGCCACACAGAGTGTAGGGTACTCTGAATGCAGCTACTGGAGGTGGCTGATGTTGGGAAGGAAAGGGGAAACCATGCAGAGGCTACAACTTCCAGCATTCCCCAGCCTGCACAGCCAATGATCAGGAATGTCCAACACAACTGGAAGGCACCAGGTTGGGCAGGTGGCAGTAATGAATAATTGCTGCAGCTGTGTTTCCAGCCCTGTTGTCATATGTGAAAATATGTCTGAGTGAGGGATGAAATGCAGGAAGGCTAGTAAGGGGGCGAGTAATGAGGCTTACTGACAAGATACCTGGTATGGTTAGCCTATCAAGCAAAATAGCCGTGGGGAGACTGACTGTCAGGGACAGAATATAAGCCAGAAGGGCTAGTTGGTCCATATAGGACCCAAGGTTTTTGCCTCTGTAGCATCCCTCCTGGCTGGCTCAGGCATACATTCTTCCACCTGACTGGCTTTTCCTGAGAGCCCCCATGCACCATGTATCGGTGACCGGAGCCTTTGGCAGAGAGAGGAAGACAATGCTCCATAAGGAATCAGACAGCAGTCTTCTGCTGTGACTGGAAGGTCAAGGAACTGCCCTGTGCCAGTTGCAGTGTGAGTTTAAGTCCCAGGAAATCCCTCTCTTTTGACTTTGACTTTTTTTTTGGCCAGTTGTGGGAAAGGTGAGCATGGGTATTCCTGCTTCCTGATGCCACAGCCCACACAGGCGGCAAATGTCAGCATGCACTTGTCTTTGATGCATGTCTTGGGCCCTGTTCATGGCTCCTTGTCACTGCATGCCAATAGGGATGCCTGGGGACTTGCAGTAATTTGTCGCTTCTGGCTATAGCCCTGGGACTGATGGAATTGTTTTGCATGCTGTGTCTGTGCTGAGTATTAACCGAGAACTACGGCTGCAATCCTATGAACATCTTCCTGGAGCAAGCCCCACTGAACAAAGTGGGACTTGCTTCTGAATAAAAATGTGCAAGACTGCATTGTTGAAGTATTAAACAATCAAAAGTAGTCACCCAGGGAGTACTTAAAACTGCTGAGACGGTAATTCTGTGAACAGATTAATAAATTATTTATCATTCCTAAAAGGGACCACAGCAGATTTATTCAGTTACTGTGAAGAACTTACTTTCCATGAACAATATTCTATGGTATTTTGTAGACATTACTGGTTTTTTTTTAAAAGATGCCTTTCCAGCCTCTTTGTCTGCAAAATTAGACATTCAAACAACACCTTAAGGGCCACATATTGTAATCCTTCCTTTATACTGTGTACAGATGTTCTCTCTCTTGGTCATTTTCCTAAGTTTCTCCACCAATTAGAGTATGGTATCACTAGAGTTTTTCCTTTTAAAATCAAGGCCTGTGAGTGAAAGAAGTTTATTTTCCATGTCATAACATAGGGAAATTGCCCAAATTGAAGCATACACTACTGCCATTAACTTCTCCTGTATCATTTTGTTGATTGCCAGTTTCTAATATAAGGTCCAAATTCTTCCCTTGTTAGTATTATACAGATTATAAAGTCCACTTCACATAATACACTGTTTTTGCTATATATTGTAGGTGTTTTAAATGTAAAATGTAAAGTATGATTAAACAAATGTGGTGGCAAAATTGAAACATTTTAATACTTGTATAATTTAATGCAGTGTTGATCAGATGTGAATTTTAGTACCAGTGAAAAATATGAAAAACTGGAGCAATGTGATTTAGATTAGGCTGAGAGTGAGTGACTGGCCCAAAGTTACCCTATGAGCTTCATGGGTGAGTGGGGACTAGAACCTGGATCTCCTGAGTCCTAGACTAGCATTCTAATCATTATGCTACACTGGTTCTCCATCCAGACTATGTGAAGGACATTTTCATGCACCCCCACCCCCAAAAGAGCTATGAAAGATGGCATATCTTGGACACTTACTAATGCTAGACAGATTCATTTGTTCCATTTTACATGACATACATTAGGAGTTTTAAGGTTTTATTGTAACAGATATTCATGACTTTGGAATGAATGTGGCCCAGACTGTTCAATTAACACCAGACAGAAGTCTTCCAGTTTTTACCACTGACTCAACAACACTGTTTATATGCCACTTTGAGCAGAGTCACAGACATATGTGAAGGGATTTTGAGAAGACTATGACAAGATTTATGGCAAACATACTTAAATTTAAAAAAATCTATAATTTGTGATTCCATGGTCGAAGCAGTAAATAATCAAAGGCATTTATTACCATTTAAAAGGTTGCATCTCTATGTTCCTACTACACCTTGTTTTGATTAACTTAATAAACATCCATTATCCCAAATTTAATACAGAACATTTAATCAATGTTAACTAGTGTATAAGCTATTTTCATAGTAAAAGTATTTGTTATTCAGCTTAGTAAACTTAATTGTTAGACTGGAAACCTGCAGTTGAGCATGCTACTTTAGCCCACGTATACCGTGTACAGTACAATGAAACTCAAAAAAGGACAATAAATAATTCAGCTTTGTGCATGTTGTGAGTAACACTGCACTAATTATAACTTTGTAAGGAACAAACAGCAGAACTAAAAGGCCAAACATGATGCCCTAGCATAAGAACTGTGTGAACACCAACTACTTACATCAATGAGATCTGAAAGGTCATGAATGTAATACTTGAAAACCGAAGCATTTGTTGCTTCAAGGGTTAGCAGATATTCATTTCTGGCTTTAATGGATTTCAGCTTATTTTCAGAATACTTTGCTTGACGCTGAGGAAGAAAAAGCATTTAGAAATTTAAAAAATGCTTCAATTTCCCCAACTTTATTTACCATGCAAGAAATTATAAAGGGAGAATACTTCAGAAAGTAACATCAAAATGAATATACACACAGTATGAAAAAGTGCCACTACTTCTTTATATACATGAAGATATAGAATCCAAAGTTCATAGAATTAAAATCTTAACATACAATTAAAATCTTAAAACCCTGGGGTGACTGGATCCAGATTTAGACATACTTGGAGTAGATCTACTGAAATCTGTCAAACTTGTTAGCCATGATTAGTTTATATGGCACAGATTTCATTGGGTCTATTTGAAGCATGACTAAATCTGGATCCAACCCTGGAAGTTTTAAATTCTTTGCTCTATGCAGTTAAAATTCTGCTTATTTATAATTTCACTGATTGTAGCATTTCAACAAAATGTTTAACCTCGAAGTACAGAACTGGTGTAGGCATAAAACTAGGCATATTGCAAGAAACTAAGAACATAAGAGAAGCCATGCTGGATCAGACCAACAATCCATCTAGTCCTAGCATTCTGTACTCATGGTGGCAAACCAGCTGCCCACTAGACGTTCAAGCAGGATGGGTGCAAGACCTCCCCCAGCCCAGTTCCTTAGCAATTGGTGCATGCAGGCATGCCCCTCTGGTAAAGGAGATAGCACAAAGCCAGGAAGACTTGTTGTTACTAACAACCTCCTCCCCTATGAATCTGTCCAAGCTCTTTTTAAAGCCATTCAGATTGGCGGCCATCACCACTTCCTGTGACAATGAATTCCATAGTTTAACTATGGACGGTGTGGAGAAGTACTTCCTTTTATCTGTCCTAAACAGATAAATTAATTAGGGCTGCTTGTGAAAGTGAACATTTGTATTTACTTTCTGTGAGCAGAACTGTAGTGAGATGCTTAGCTTCAAGTCGACTGCCCTGATTCTGGTCTCATACACATCCCAGCAACATTGGGTAGTACGGAGAAAACTATCCCACCCACACCTTACCTAGCTTTAAGACAAAATCAAAGGCGGGGGGAGATAATTAATCCTAATGGTAATGGAAAAAAAGACCGTGCAGGACCAAAACAGGCTGGGGACTAAGGATCACTTTGTTGTGGGTGATTTACACAGGGTGACTTTGACTGATACCCTCAGATTTTGCCTTCATGAAAGCCATCAGTTTCTATGGGAAAGCATACATGGAATTTAGGAAGTAGACCAAACATCACCCCAACAGGAGGATTTCACTATCCAAGGGTGCTGCTTGCACTTGAGACATGATTTTATTTCTGGTGCAGCACATGCCACCTAGAAGTTCTTACTACAAAACAATGTCCCACTCTCAAAGGAACTTTAAAACTATGTCATTCACTTTAAATGAAATAGGTAATGAACTGTTTCTTACTTTTTCTTTCATTTTTTCAATTTTCTTCACGGAACTCCGTCTCTGGTGTCTTTCTTCCAGCCGCATGTGGAAAACAGGATCTCCTGTCCTGCCAATTTGTTTTTCCTCTTGCTTTTCTGCCTCCTTCAGTTTACTTTCTGCACTGATGCTCTCTGTATGATACATGTGGTATGTTTTCATGACCTGTGACAGAAGTTAAAGGTGAGATTTAAAAAAAATGAAGACTATTAAGTATTTTTACTGATTGCCTCTTGTATTTTTAGCACTCTAGAGTAGGTTACAGCATTTTAAAACCAAGTTTTAAATAAAATCTCTAAAGATGTAAACAGTCCAGTTGATGTAGCATAGCTGGAACTTTCAAGGTTTTTTTAAAAAAATAGAAAGCAAAGTCCTTCATCAAAGGCTCCTGAGAAAACTCAGCAGTCATAGGTGAGAAGAAAATGCAGGGTTCAGTAACTAAGGAAAAACCAGGAAAAGAGAGTTCTCACAATGGGGGATGTGGGATGCTTTCAAAAATCTGTGCTGGGCCCAGTGTTTGGAATTAGGAGTTAGTTGTCAAATTAAAATAGCAAATGGGGTTGAAGTGTAAAGTGTAAAGAGATGCACAGTGAGGCAAAAATATCTTTATTTATGAATCTGTATGCCATGCACTAATCCTAGATGGATTCTCTAGCGATTTATGTTGATCGGAACTGAGCTGATGGTGACTGATGAGGGATAGAGCAATGAAAATGTTGACTCAATGTCAAAATTCTATGCTGTTTATCATCAGGAAAATGACAGAGAATAACATGGCCAATACTGCAAAGCCTTTATCCAATCTATGGTTTGATCAAACTTGAAATACTATACAATTCTGGTCACTGCACCTCAAAGAGGATAGTGCTGGAAAAGGTACAGAAAAGCAGAAGCAAAATGTTCTTGGGACTGAAGGAACTTTTCTGCACATAAAGTTTTCAAAGTTTGGGACTAATAGAGGTGCATAAAACTATGCATGCTGTGAAGAAAGTGCAAAGACAGTTTTTGTTTCCCTCTCATAATACCAGAACTTGGAGTCATCCTATGAGGCTGAAGAGTGGAACAGGATTTATTTATTTTTTTCATAGAATTAGCTACAGATTTAGCAATGGCCCCCAAGTTAGGGAGCTTTAAAAGAGGGTCAGAAAAAATACAGGAGGCCAAGACTAAAATGACTGCTAACTGTGATAAAAATGTAATACTTCTAGAATCACCATGCCTTTGAATGTCAATCACCAGGGAACAAGAACAGGAGAGAGCAAGTTGCTACTGCACTCATGTTCTGGTTATGGGATTTTCATCACCATTTTAACCGCTCAAGGCACGTCTAGGAGTCCAAAACATCTTCCCTTGACAAGAGGTTGTAGACCATCTACAGTCTTAAATTCTAGAATGTTCCTGACATTGTGACATGGTAGCAGAGACAATTAAGAAGAAATCAACTTGCAAAAAGAAATTTGGACCCAAGATGTGGACAATATTATCAATATCATGCTCTCAACCATGATGGGTGTAAAAGAGTAATGACTCTTTAAAAAGCCATTATTTCAACAGCTTCAATTTGAATCTTAAAACATGTTTTCTATTACAAATTACACCTTTGAATTTTGCTGTACTCCTGAACTGGCAGTAAATGAAAAGAGCCAGGAGTTTATTTAGTAGACTTATGAATTATCTCAGAAAACAGTGCTAGTTGGTGAAACATAGTGAGATTGGAACAAAGAGTTGGTAAGGAGGCAAGACAGAAAGGTGCTGAAGACATTATAAAAAACCTTACTGATAAGCAGCAAAGTAAAAGAAAACTACCATGCGTAATTAGACATACTTGTCATATTTACTATATTAATTGTACAACTGAACTTTGTATTAATATTTCAATTTTAAATAGTTTATTATTTTCAAAAAGTGTACCAATTCTCCTTGTAGTGACAGGTACTTCACCTACTGGAAATACAAAGCTTTCTTTGCTTTTAATAGATAAACAGTGTAAAATGAATGAGTATAATCACTGGTCTTGGGAAACATCATCATTTTCATTGGGGTGAACCTGACTGGTAGAACATCATAGCCTCCAGGACAGCAATGGAGCTGTCTCAAATTACCATTAGTCTAGAGCAGAGGGCAGGGCATACTTTTAATTAGTCTTTGCCTCTGGATGTGAGGGAGATGTTCTTGCAGGGCCAATCCCTCCTGTGGGATTGGTAGGGAGGAACCCATTGAAGTCGTCCACCCTTGGCGACTTACGGAATTCCAAGGATTTCTAAAAGTGCTGCGGAAATTTTCAGTAACTGGAACCGGCAATTCTGTTGAGGCTCTATCTGCACTAAAGAATGGTGAGACACAACAGGCTATTGACATGATCATTCCCAAGCACCATCTCCAGACCTGTGCAGACTGAAGGTATCCATCATTCTCTGGAGAGCGCTGCATGATGAAACTGGCAGAGAGACAACTTGAGTGTAAGAGTTAAGCCAGGCTTTTCCTGGCTAACATGGAAATCTTGCTTCATTTCACTGCTCCTTTATTATTATTCCTATTGTTGGAACTGAATTGAAACTGCATTAAAACTGTATTCTTAGTATTTTAAATGCGATTTAAATACTTAAATGTAAATCTCTGTTGTTGCTATTTGCCATCAAATTGTCTCTGCCTTTTGGGAACTCTATGAATGAAAGCCCTCCAAAATGTCCTATCTATGAAATCCCATAGGGATTAAATAGGGATTTAATTTGTTTAGGGATTAAATAAAAATCTAACCTATAATAATAAATAATGCAATAAATAATCTTTCAGCATCAGGAAACAGGCCTTCTTCACAGTGGTACCCAATTTATGAAAATGTTTTCATCCTGGTATCAGTGAAGCACCAACTAGAAATAGTTTTAGGTACCAGTTAAAGCACCCCTTTTTTCCTGAGCCACGATGTTGCCAACTCAGCTTGTCTGTATTTATGTGTTTCAATGTTTTTATTCATGTTTATATGAATATCTTAGTACTGTGCAATTTATATTTTAATGTGCACTGTGATGTAATTTAATGTTTTCTTGTAAACCACTTAGAGATATTTTAAAATAAGGGCAGATTTATATAAATCTAGGAAATGAATGAATGAATGATGAATGGACGTCCGTCTGCACTGTCATGTTTTATGAGAAGAACTGTTTTTGTCATTTCCAGAGCTCAGATGGTTAATACAGTTTGATGACTGAGTTCCAGGTTCTCTTCCTCACATAAAAATCTACATGAACTTTTGTTTATCTGCTGCAACCTGAGCTTGTACCATTTGTTCCTGCTTCTTCACTGTCTCAAATCTGACCATATGTAAAGCAGTGAAACTTATGTAAAACTTACTTATTTTTTATTTATTTAAATTGCGATTTATATCCTGCCTTTCTCCTACAAAGGGCTCAAGGCAGCTTGCATCATTCTCCTCCTCCATCTTATCCCCACAACAACAACCCTGTGAGGTAGGTTGGGCTGAGAATCTGTGACTGGCCCAAAGCCACCCAGTTGGCTCCATGGCTGAGCAGGGACTCGAACTCGGATCGCCTGAGTCCCAGTCCCACGCTCTTAACCACTACACCACACTGGCTCTCACACCACTTATTACTTTAATTTAGGTTTAGGTTAGAGAAACATTTTATTTCTACAAGTTCAAAAAAATTCCAAAAGAAAGTGTTTTTTCATATTAAAAGCATGAGCAATAAAAGAATGAAGGAAAACATCTGAAGAACATATCTGGATGCTTGTCTGAACACAGGTGTACACAGAACAGCCTTTAGAATTAACTGCAGACATGGATTTTGGAGAAAGTTTTCCATTCCATTTGCATGGTTTACATAATATGGATGATGAGGAGTTGGATCCTGCTGGATACAAAATATCTCTGTAGTCTTTCTCAAATGATGGAATGTTGAGCTTCAGACAAGGTGAGATTTTTAACTGTTTAAAATATCCTTCAGCGAAAGGAATTATTTTTCAAAAAGGTCTTTCATGCTGGAAGGAGGTGAGAATCACATTAGACTCCAGTGGCCTCTTGTTCTTGGACCTATTTCTTTATTTATAAGCATTTGACATTTGTCTATTGATTTCAGCTAGCTGACTGAAACATTATCATTATCATATTATGTAAAAATGAAGTAGTTAAAAATGAGATAATGATATGCAGCAATGAAATGGACTTCTTCCTAAAAATGCTTCCCCTCCCTTCCTTCTGTGCTAATACAAATGAAAACAATTTACCAATCTACGATTTAACAAAATTTATCGAATAAATAATGTAAAACATCTATCAATACAGTGGTGGTTTACATAATTCCTCTCTCTGTTTTTTTCACAACAACCCAATGAGGTAGGTTAGGCGGAGAGCTCCAGGCACAATGAAAGCACACCAAATGCTACACTGTCTCTGAACTTCTACAGAAATCTTAAGAGAAAAGATTTGCAGTAGCTTCTGTTGGATCATGGCCTATACAGTCAGTTTTGTACTGGAATGGAGAAGTTTGCCTAACTTTGAAGAAGTAGTTTGTTATGAGAAAACCAAATGGAAAGAAATAATAATTAATAACCTGCAAAAAGAGAAAAGCACTCTGTTTAAAGAACATAGTTCATTCAGTTTAAAAAGCACTCAGTTGTTAACTACATAGCCCCTGAAGAAGCAACAGCAAGTGGAATAGAAAGTAATTGCTACTACTTCCAATCTAATAATGCACCACAAATTAACAGCATTCGGACAAGGTGCACCAAAGGCTATATGAATAGCTAGTGTTAAAGGCTGGACTAGTCTTTGTGTTTTGACATTCACTGATCATTGCATACAATATATGCCTGAAAGGATCCATTTTACTAATTTGGTTTACATTAAATAATTCAACCAAGATTCCAAAAGATATTTTTATCAGCACACTGGCACTGCTTCTTTCCAGCGGAGCAGTCCTTTGACAGTTTACTACCTATGTGGTGTATTTTTATCTGTTTTCATCTGAACCAACATTTTATGTTATGTTGTTTCATATGACAGACAGTTAAGGACAAAATAATCCAGTATATTATGAAAGCATACAGATTAAAAACCTTTCTTCTCAGCCTACTGCAGTAGCTTAAAAGCTTTAATCTGTTTCCTCATACAGTGACTCCAAGCTCTATGACATTCCTGAATGCTAATCAGGATTCAATAATTTTAAAAATTGGTTGTTTTGGGAACTATTTGTTAATCGAGCACAAGAAAGGGAGCAAAGGGAGCAATGTTGCAGCAACAGCTATTCATTCTTCGTCTACATGAAGCAAGCTCTATAAGAGGGATTTTCTGTAAATATTTTCTGAGAATAGTTGAGTGTATGTGTGTGCTTATATGTATGGTTTCATGGTCTATGTAGCTGCAGATCATTTCTCTGATATGCAATAATATTTGCTGAGATTTAAGATCTCACCAGCATAGCTTCTGGATTCAACATCTCTCAAAGACTCTGGCACTGTTATACTTCTAGATGAATGGTATCACCAAACATAACATGTTTCACAGACATCCCAGCTGCTGTATTTCAGCTTCAAACTATAAGGAGCGTAACAACTCTAATGCTGTACCTTCTAATCAGATGGGTGGCTGTCTTTTCTTAGCTCCAAACATTGGCGCAAGATTTTTAGTAGGACCAAGGCATTGAGGAACAATTGTTAAACACGCCTCCTGCTTGCCTACTGCACAGGGTCTCCCTAGGACTACACTTTGGAGAAAGGGGGGGGGAAATAAATACATGGAAAGATGACACCATTTAGAATGGGAAGAGTTAAAGTTCATCCCTAGAGATAAGGAACAGAACATCTAGCCAGGAAATGGCTAAATGACCTATACAGGCCATAATGGAGAATGCTGCCTGGTAGAAAAGCTATGAGGCAGCTGTTATTATTGCTCATCTACACTTGGAGATATTGTGCCAATGTTCTAGCTTTCTTTCAAAGTCAGATTTTGTGAGCTCTAGAAGGGACAGAACAAACAGGGAAAGAGATGGAACAACAAAGACATGCAGATATCTCATTTAAAAGTGAGTCAACAAAGCAAGGCTATCTATAGTAACAGGACACAGATGAGGAAATGGTGCCTGTGGCACTTAGGACCAGAGATGTTCAGGAATTAATACATTTAAGTTAAAACTGTGAACTACAGCAGAATTGGTGCACAGGTGCATTATGCCCTCAAGTGCTGTGCCACCTAATTCTGCACCAGATGAACCCTCTGAATAGTTTTCATGGATAATGTCACACAGAAGCATACAAGCAGGGCAACCACTTTCTTATCCATATGGACAGCTATTTGATAATATTTTATATATTAATGCAAATATGTATATTAAAGCAGAACTGAGTGTACAATAAAGCAAACTGGGACATGCTTCTCTGGTTAATTACTGCAAATATTCAGTGGAAGTAAAGACAGCAAGATCTCCCTACTTATATTTGCATCTTCATTCTGTGATGCACAGGAGTTCCCCAAGACTGCACAGGTTGTCAAGACTATCCTGCAGTCCAACATTCTTCTATATAAGCATACATTTGCTATAAGCAGCTAAGATTTTCTTGGATAAATCAATCTTGCTATTACTGGTCCACAAAGAATAATTTCACCCTATAGAAATAAGACAATTTCCCCCAGATGGAAAAAGCAATACTGCTACATGGTAACCATGTGAAAATCATGCCTATTTGAAAGTCTGTTAATACACAGCTGACTGAAAAAGCACATCAAGCAATACTTACAAACAGAAATTGATCTTTCAAGGTAGAGACCCAATTAAATTTAATCATAGCATTATGAATACCACTTTTCAGCTGTTACTATGTCAGCACCACACCCAGTCTTATTTGCAATACAAAAACACACAGGCTGCACACATTGCACATCTTGCAACTTTGACACATGTCAAGCTTACAGGATTTTTTGTTAGTACAAACAGAATTTTAGCACGAAAACAGATTGTCCTTTTCTCCAGTTTATCTATCATTAAATGTACCAACTTTTAATTTCAACTTGTGTGCATTGCATGTATAATACGCAATATTAATTTATATGTTTTGTCAAGATCAGGGTGGATTTGATTTAAATCACGTCAGTAAGACTAGATTTAAATCAAGTTTTTCTACATAATTTGCACATATGCTTGCCTTTCTGCGGGTAGAGAAACTTTTTAAAAATATTCCCAAACTGGGTCTCTTTTATGGCCTACTGCCATTATAGGTTTTTTCCTCCAGGGGAAAAAATAATATATCTCAGGCTTTACACAAGAAAATCCAAAGACTTGTGGAGTATTCTGTTCAAAAGGCTTCACTTCCATTTTTACTGTTTGTTCCTCCTCCTCACACTTAGCTTCTTGTACAGATCTATTCCACTTCCAACAATCTTTTTCTATTCATTGAATGTTTGGAAATGTAACACTTGAGAGGTAAGGGGTTGATTCTGTGCACATAGATTTGCAAAGGAACAATCGGATTAAGGTCTTTTTCGCAACTCTGTATATAGAACCTCATGCTACATAATTAAAAATGAACCCTTATTTCATGATGAATAGCCTTTGGACTAGAAATAGAAAATTATCTTTAGAATTTTTTCTAAAAGCATTGTATTTATTCATATTAATTTATGTTTAAACTTCAATTTAAATTAAAAACATTTTAAATAAAATATGATTCAAATTTTTAAAAATCTGATTTTTTGATTTTTAAAAAAATCATCTATTTTTATCTACCCTGGTCAAGATCCTTCATTTTTTTCATAACAATAACCCAAAAAAGAGATACTCAAATGTCAAAGAGACCAATTAAAAGGATCAAAGTTTTATGGCATTATTATTATTATTTTTTTTATTTATATCCTGCCTTTTTCCTACAAAGGGCTCAAGGCAGCTTACATTATCTCTCCTCCTCCATCTAATCCCCACAACAACAACCCTGTGAGGTAGGTTGGGCTGAGAGTCTGTGACTGGCCCAAAGTCACCCAGTTGGCTCCATGGCCGAGTGGGGACTCGAACCCAGATCCTCTGAGTCCCAGTCCCATGCTCTTAACCACTACACCATACTGGCTCTCTGATTATTATAATCAATCACTGTGAATTTTTCTAAAATATGCAAGCTGTTGGCATAATGCTGCAAGGCAGCTTATTTTAGGCTTTAAAATTGTATTTTAATTTATTGAAACAACAACATTCTACCTAGAAATTGTTTTAAAGCTTTCTTTTGAACTATTTAAATGCCTAGTCATAGTTATCTCTGTGGAATATGTTTCAGGGCAACAAACAGCTAGAAGGCCACAAGAGAAATAGCACCCAAGATGTTTTAAATAATAGATTTCATTTTTTGACATTCACTGACTTATGGTCATAGGGATTTGTGTGCTACATAGCAGTTATAATAAAATGCTTTGCTTTCTACTTATAAGCCCTTAAAGCAAATAAAAGCACATCAAGCATAAAGGCTCTGCCTGAGCTTTGGCAATAGTCAAGCATCTCAAAAAGGCCCTCTCAAGGAGTAAGCTACTCCAGTGCAGGCAATTATAGAGTCTGCTAACACACGAGGAAGACAAGGTCAATGGCACAATACTGTAATATGCAAAATATTAATGTTTTTCTTCTCCTTCCACTAAAGTTAGCAAAAAAACCTTTTACCAATGTACGCGCTTTAAAAGAAATACGTAAGACCAAATGCATCTACAAACATGCTTTAGGACAGCTATCATCAGCACCATAAAGGTGTAAATTACAACAACCCACTTAATGCATTACATATAATTAGGCCGAAATCAACCACATTCCAGCTAAGCATGTGGTAGGTTTTAAAAGCACACAGAGTTTTGAAGGCAATTAGAAAGTTTTAGAAGAATGTTTCTTTTGAGGCTAAATGAATAGCCCTATTTGTCTAGTTGTCAACAAACTAAAACATGTTATTGTTCTATCACATGTCAACTCAATTAGAAACATTTAAAATATGTAAAAATGGATTTTCAATGAACCATTCTTTCCACCAAAGCCAATTCAATATGCTTACCGTATAAAGCTCATTAAGAACCCTCATTAAATCTTCATGAAGCTGGAATGCAATCTCTTTGCTCTGTAATTAAAGAGAAATTATTAGGAAGAGTCACTTAAAACCAGAACTGAGCCAATAAGGGGGATTACATTTTTCACAAAAACTTTGAGAAGGTGGAAAATGTCCCCCCACCTCCCATTTTTCTGCCCTCTTATGGAAGGCAACTGAGTTAGTGTTCCTCCTTTTGTTACCCTAGGGTAATTAAATGTACCACAGCACAGCAAAACAGGAAGTTCTGAGAGGCTGCTTTGATAATAGGACTGTGTTTTCTCTTCCTGACACCCATTCAGGGTGAGGGTACTGAGGCTTTGTTTATCCTAGCACTGTGATTTCATAACATTACTATGTAATGTCTAGCTGGTTGGGATCATACAAGGAGACCAGAGAGACAGTGGAGGCAACAGCAAAGAGACTAATGAAAACAACCATGAAAGAAGGTACACAGAAAAAAATGCTCCTTCCCATCTTAAAATCACAACTTTTGCCCTAAAAATGTTTGAAGACATGTTTGATGCATCCTTCAACCAAAACATATCTGCATTTGAAGGCTAGCACAGCGGAGATTATAAGCAAGGCATTTTGACAGAATTCCAATATACCAATTCATAAAGATGTAGTGATGAGCAGGCAAAAATACAGCTGGAGGAAAAAAAGGGCTCTAAATTAAATAGCTAAACAGTTTATTAGAAAATAAGGGGTCAACCCAAACTGCTAATGTTCAGGATTTAATAACCTTTAAAAATTATAAGTATGTTGAATTACAAGTTACTATTACTAGCTGAAATTAATGTATGTATGAATAAATGAAATTTATTCATTTTTGTGTTTAAGGGCTTTCTTAACTGTTTGATTAGCTTTCAGAATGGTGTACAAATTAAAACAATCTATAAACATAAAATACATACAATGTATCACAGGATAGTTAGATGACTATCACCAAGAACAATAAATAGTGATAATAATATACAATAAAAGAATAAAACCAAATCACACCATGCCAATGACCAAATAGATTTTTAAAAACCAGTATAAAATCCAGTAATGTTATTTAACAATTAAAATGTTGGGAAAATAAAAAAATTAAACCTGGCACCCGTATAAGCAATCAGCCAGTGCCAGGCTCACCTCCTTGGGGAGCTAATCCCATAATTGGGGGGCACAGCCAAGAAGGCCCTTTCCCTTGTCGCCACTTCCTTACTTCTTTTAGAAATGGCTCCTGGAGAAGGACCTCCCTAGAAGACCTTAGGGTCCAAGGAGGTGCACATGGGAAGAGATGCTCCTTTAGATATCCAGACCCTAGACTGTTTAGTGTTTTATACATAATGTATAAATACGTAATAATAATGGTTTTCTGTTAAGATGAGGCCTGAAGCCAAGAGCAACTGATTTTCACCTCATCTTTATTTAAACTGTACAAAACCCTCAGTGTGCACATGCCATTTCAGTATCTGCATTAATTGCAATGGTGAGATTTAGAAGTAGCACTATTCAAAGTTTCAATGAAGGACCTGGCAGGTCTATGTACAATTTAAACCATATTTTGAATAAATAATATCACTTTGTACCTTTGCTTAGATTTTAAGTCAAAACACAGAAGTCACACTTCGTTTCCTAGGTTGTCCTGCTTATCTACCTGCCTTTGCATTTTACCCACTGATAATACCATATAGTTCTTCTCCCCTTGATGAAGTCTTTGTAAAATTTGTCTCTCAAAACATCTTGGTCCTTGTGAACAGCAACAGTTTTTGTATCTCATCCTTCAAATAGTTAAATTGTTTCTGAACATTCTAAGACATCACACAGTTTAGGCAGCACCAAAGATCATGTGAGTGACAAACAGTTTTTAGCAGGAGGAAAAATGGTGGCAAACCTCCTCCCTGAAGCATAAAGTCAGATGAGATCGGTAATTCTGAGGAGATGGAAAAATTATTAAAGTTAATTCTCACTAAATCTCTCTTCTCATTTTCAAAGAATCCCATCTCTCATTTTGTAAGAGCAGTGTTGCTGTAACACCCTGATTGATCTCAACATTATAATCTAAAAGAGAAGCTTCTTACTTACATGCTCATATATGATATGCCTAAATTCTAATCACGGAAGCTGCTCGAAACCTATTGATAATTTACATGTAGTGACACAGATGAACAGCTGAAGGATCTTTTAAACACAGTTGTGGTTTTTCAGAAAATTAGTCTGACACAAAATCATTGCCTGAGATGCTGTGGAGGAAATGCTCTAAGTGAATTGCTGCAATAAGTAGAACAATAATAGAATCAGAATTGGAAGGCAGATCTATTTGCTCCTGAAGACAGTGCCATGCTGAAATGCATTTAAAATTCTTCTAATGCAGAGGTCATGTAACTGCTGCTCCCGCCTCTCCATCACTCCATGCTACCCTGACATCAGCACTTCACCTCACGGGTGACAGCCAAGACAAGGACTATATTGTGAGCTTCACTTATCTGGCTGCTGAATAAATCTGAACACTTAAAATCTAATACAGCCCAAAGACACTGGAATAGCAAAAAGGGGAATACTGGAATATAGTTGGGTTCCTGATACTGAGTATTAGTTCTTGCCTGTTATATTGAAAGGGTCCTGCAATATGAAGTTCAGGTTTTCAATAATGGATACCTAGGACACTATGTCCTAAATTATTCCTAGGTGTTTTCTTCCAAATACAGCTACTGCCTTTCTGAAAAGGGCTCTGTACCTTGATATATATCAAAATATGCACTGCATATACCTCATACTACTAACCCTAAAGCAGGGATGGGCAACCTGTGACCCCCCAGATGTTGTATTCCAACTTTTAACAATCCCGGTCAACATGGAGAGTAGTCAGGCATAATGAGAACTGTAGTCCAACAATATCTGGAGGGCTACAAGTCTCCCACCACTGCTCAAAGCTGTATATGCTGTTTCAAATATCCAAATAGCAAATATTTGCCCGCTTCTCTCCTTTTTACAGATACATTCAGTTCTCCCCAATTCAGTTTCCTGGAACCAATAACTTCATATACTATCTATAGGTAGGCACAGATTTTAAAGACTACACACTTCTATAGTGAATCACTACATCTGAGGGAGGGTCTCCTTGAGCTTGTATGTAATCTAAAAGCTCAAGAAAAGGATCTATTTAAGCATGGTGGAAAACTAATTTCTCATATAATCAAAAAGCTTTGATGAAGATTTCCTTGGCAGTCATGCTGAAAAGCAGATGACAATGTTTCCAGTTAACTGGATCCTATAGGCACTGAGCACCTCCCAGCATTTCTGGCTAGAGAGCAAATGGAAGGAATGTCTCTTCCCCAGATCCTAATCATGGAAGAGAGACAGATTTAATCTAATTAACCCTTTAAAAAAAGAGAGAAATGTTTATTACTGACAGAGAATTAATAGTGCAATTGCAGTAAACATCTTAATTGAAAGTAGAGCTTATCCTAATTAAATTAAATGTGAAGGGATTATATAGCTGTTTTACCTCCCTCATCAAACAGCATTATTAGACTCCTTAACAGGAAAATAAGCAGTATTAAATACGTAGCAAAAGCTGTTCCAAAAGGTAACTTTTCATTGATTTGCAGCATGTTTACTCAGAAGTAAATCCCACTGAGTTCAATATAACTTGCATGCTTAGGATCTCCCTCTCCCTTTCTGTGAATTCATAAGCCAAATACTCTACATGCTGTTAGAAACTGTTTGTAATCAAGAAGACAAGGAATTTATAGTGAGGACAGATGGCACAGGCAATATATGTTTGACTTCAACTGTGAAGTAATTTACATGTAGCTGAACAGAGAAGACCAAATTTTCAAGGGCTGATTCTTTGACAGCTGGGTGGAGGCAGGAAAGCCCAGCAGAAATGCCCAAGCAGTTTTTATTCTGCTGCCTTCTGTACAGAAATGAAAAGCCAAAAATAACTTTAAAAACTAGGTTATGGTTAACTGACTGATGGACATCCCATCATCTAAAAATACTCCTTTGGTTCAAAGAGGAAAACAGAATAATATAAAAGGGCAGAGAATGATTAAACTCTGGAAGACATGGAAGCTCATGATATGGTCTTTTCTTTGACCTCACTGCAAGTTGGGCAATAAACAAAATTAACAGCTAACCAATATTTCCTCTAATCAGAGCATACGAGCTAACTACTGCTTCTCTAATAATAACTCACTCAGAACAAACAAACAACCTGCTATAGATTTTTATACTTTATTTTTGCATGTATTCAAGAAAGGAAGGTAGATACACAGCTCTGCACCTCATATTGCTGTGTAGCTGTAACAAGCAACAGAATACAGAAAATCACAGGCTACTCCTCCTCCTTCTCACACAGGGATCTCCTCTTGCCACTAAATTGTGACAGGGTTCTAAAGTTTTTCATAATACTTTATCAAGTGTGGAATTCCTTTTAAGTAGTTTTAGAGAGAAAAGAAGACATTCTTCTACTTCGGTAGGTTACATTTATAAACACGTTTCCCTTTCTTGAAGAAAATACAACATAGCATTTAATAAAGACATGCACTGAATGTATGTTCTTGTACTTAAAAAGTTCTTAACCTTTCTCTCTTGCAGTTACAGTAAAAAATCTCATAATGTAGTTAGTAATGTGCTGAACTAAGTCTCTTGCAGAGTATTTATTTAAAATGTGTTCCTTTTAACCACTTCCACTTTCATAGGAAATAATAGCAAAGTACCTTCTTGAACATCCTAGTGGAATCTTCACTTATCTGCATAAAGCGCATGATGACATTGTTCAGATATATGTCACTTAGGGTTGCATGATCTTTGCTTTCCCGTCTGACTTGGTTGAGGAGTAAATACCAGCAATTTACTGGAGAGAGCAGATTCTGGTCCTTCCTAGTAAACACAGATATTTAACGTAATTTGCTGCAAGCGTATTACCAGTTTCAACAAAAGCATGACTTCAACCAGTTTTACGATTTGTTAAATGCATGCACCACTCCTCCCTGGAAAAAGTGCCTTAGACACCAATAGAGAAATCCATGATTAGTGTAACAAGGAAAAAAACAGCACAAACAACAAAATCCATATAAATTCATAATAAACATAACAATACAAATACAAGAAAACACCAAAAAACATAATAAAAACAATGGAAACAATACAATTAATAAAATACACAATTTAATTGCATAAATCCAATGGACTCGTTGACACTCAAAATCAGGATGATAAAAGAATGGTAAAGGGTATCCTTTCAGTGCATATTTAAGGGGATTGAGAACTCTTTAGTGGTTGTGAGTTTTCAAACAGAGTATCATTTGAAACTCAGGTGTAAGTAATAAAACAAAAACAAGTATGTGAGACAGAAGCACTTATATGGCAATTCCTATTTGTCAACCTCATTCACATCCATGCAGGAAGTTAACAAACAATAGGGAATAAAGGATTGTCTGTTTTAGTGTTTCCAGTTCGCAGCTGTAGCAAGCAACTGAAACACAGGAAGTAACTCAGAGACAGGACATCCCCACATTCCCTTGCAAAATGTATGCCATTTAGACTGAGGAGGAACTCTCATTTACAAAAAGTAGAACAAGCTTCCGCTTTATACACTCCCACTGCAATGTCTGGAAACACACTCGGTTTAAATGGTGGACTGTCATATCACGCAAACAGTTCCATTTCACCTTTCTGTGTATGAAAGGCTAATCAAGCTATTTTGCAATGTTTTGGGAAGGACCAACACATTCCAAAGTCATTATGGACATTAAAATTCAAAATACAAATAAATAAATTATTGCTGTTTGACTACTAAACAGCAACATGCAACATAACTCCCTCAATAAAACCAGAGGGCTGGTTCATATAATCTTGGTCCATGAACCCAAGGTTATACCAGGAACAAGCCATGTGCCTGTGCACACTTTCCTTGCACATCTGGGTTCAGTGAAGATATCCTGGTTCTCTGACAGACAAACAAACAAACACACACAGTGGGGAACATCCTTGTTTCATATTCTAATCTGGGGAAAGCCCTTAAATCAAAGTTTAACTAGTTGGACATCACAAGAAAATGAGATTTTGAAGAACCAAGGTATCTTTTTTGAAGCCAGCTGGAGGAAAGTAAACATGCAGGTAAACAGCTAACTCCTAGACTGAGATTGCAACACTTAAACAGGGCTATCAAATATATAGGGAACCTTGTCTTACTTGTACTGTTGATGGTCCTTAGTACTTCTTGTCTTAGCCATAAACCTTTCTGCCAATTTTTCTAGATTGCGAGAGTATTCAGTCTCTATTTCTGCCTTTTTGCGAAAGAAATCCTGCAGATCCTGAAGAAGCTGCACCCTCATCTCAGTCTGCTGCTCCAGACATTTCTGTTGCTCTATTAGTTGAGCCCGAATCTCTAGAATGAATCACAAAACAAAGCAGTCAAATGGAGCTGACACATCCAGTGCATTCCACAATCCCTTAATAATAATATAATCACGAAGGAACTACATGATACTTTAACCGGATACTCTTTTCAACCAACATTAATAGGCTAGGAAAATAGCTCTCAAAGAAAAAAAGTATAAATGCAGACCTACCCCAATTACTTCTCCCACAACTGCTGTGCCATCTCACAAGCATCCTACTGGTCCCACACCCAGTCCATTGCCCTGCTACTCACCTCCACTGTTCCACAGTAGCTACACATGCCCCATCACTCTTGCTTCTCAAAGCTTTCCAAGCAGTTGCGGGTATCCTTTACCAGGTAGTCGGGCATGCTGCACAGCCAAATGCTGGCCTCCAGCCCATTCTTCTTTCCTCAAAATGTCACTGCATCCTTGTGGGACCCAGAAACATTCAGGAAAAATTCTGCTGGCTTGGAAACCAGTGCTTAACTTTACAACATTTGCCATGTCACTGCATTTTAAACCTTTATATTGTTGCTATATTTTAATTTTGGTCCTTATTTTATACTGTAGTTTTGAACTTTTAGATTATATCATGTTGCATTTTATGGTTGACATGGCCAGAGAACTGTCACTATTGGGCATTATAAAATGTAAATCAATCAAACAACCCTATCTCTGGTGGCACTCATTCTCTTGCCAAAGGGATGTTATCAAGACCACTCTGTCTACTCGTTCTTTCCTTCAGCAAATCAAGATCTTTGCAGTCCACCACACTTTCAAAATGATTTGGATGTCCAATCTTTACTAATACTATGGAAAATTCTTACTATTGATTTTTTTGGTTCAGTTTTATGGCCCTCCAAACTTTGGTTTTTAAATGATTTTTTAAATATTTGCTTTTGTGTGCATGTGTATGTGCTCTACAAGTGTGAGTTGTCTTTGATTCCTGTCATAGACCAAACGTAGGGCAAGATTTTAAAGAAACAAATGGTAATATACATCTTTATGACTGTAGGCAGGTTTTTAAAAATCATCGGGACTGAAGAAGCCAAACGAGATGTATTAAGAGAGCCTCTTCTATCTCACTTCCTTGTATATGACACAATGTCATTGAACTGTATGTTTTCTTGTCCTCTCTCCATTTGCGAAAGAGGAAAGAAATTCACAGTGCAATGATATGCCACATGCTCTTTGTGCTAGATGTTGGAAGGCAGACTACATGTGTAATGGGTCTTTTTCCTTAAAACATCCCGTTTGATTTTGAAGTGAATAAATTGTGTCTAGTAGTTATGCTTGGTGAATTATCTCCTTTATCAAGATAGGATGCCAACAGAAACACAGAGGGAGATGAACCCACATTTCCTACTTCCCACTACTGTTCTATACCAGCTGGCACACAGACATTAGCATCTGGTAACTTTTATTTAATGCTCATATTTCTGTTGAGCTGAAGTGTTAAGTTCTTCTCTGATTACTAGACTGTGCAAACTAAAACAATTAGATATTTTATTCTTTTCAAAGACATGACACAAAATGAAAAGTCTACAAAGCACAAATTATGACTCCAAGTACCAAACACTTATGGTCCTTTTTTTCTAAGTTGCCATCAGTCCATAATCCTCCACAAGTAAAAGACATCACCATTGAGAAAGACTGGCCTCCTGGTGCCACAGCTTTTGGCTGCTCTGGCAGTCTGAAACACTGTCACCACATTAAGGTGTGCATAGGATGCACATTCAGAAACAGACAAAAGCAAAGAGCAAAAACGGGAGACATTTTTCAGAAGATCCAAGAAATCAAAGGGATATTCAAACCAAGGTTAGGAATGCTCAAAGACCAACAGGGGGACACAGTATCTGAACAGGATACTATAAGGAGAAGATAGAAACCATTTTAGGGATGTGTGAGGGATCCATTTGGGTGTGGGGATTTGTTGGATTCCCTGGGTTTAGCTCCCCAGACTTTGGCCTGCTTTGCAGTTGCCTGCAGTTTGTCTTCTTGGTAAAAATGCTCATCATTCATGGGGCACTCACCAGGAATCAAGCCTCACGTGCTAGCAAGCAGTGTCCCTCTCCCCTGTATGCCACCACCAGAATCAGCAGCAAGAGGAGAAATTGGTTGTGGCTGGCACCCCTGCTCACAGCGCTCCCTTTCCATGCACACACCTCCACTGCCACTGAGAGCAGTATGGAAGAAGGCTGGTCACTGGAAATGGCGGCTGGTGTGCCCACATGCAGTGCCCCTCTTCCATATCCTGTAGCCACTCCTGATAGGATAGGTTGCTGGTTGTGTAACTGGGGGTCTGTACGCATTCACAGACTTTCTCTTGACTTGTTTTGCAGAACCAGGATGAGCATTAAAGGAAGTCTGTGGACACCAGAGGGATGGATTCTGAAAGGGTTTAACCTGGTCCTATACAGTATCTGAAAGAACTATTCAGCCTAGATTAGCTGAAGCAAATAGGGGTGAAAGGTGATTTTTGTCTCCCAAGTGCCACAAAAAGAAGTACCTGGACTATCCAAAGGGTCTACATTCAGATTTCATATCAACTCCTTAGTCCTAAACCTGTTAGCAGTTAGCAGTGTAATAACTGTAGCTAGCTATGTTGTTTGATGAAACTTCTGATTCTTTGTCAAACACCCTCATATTAGGAAATGCCACTGATTTCAATAGAACTTGAAGGACAATCTTCTCAGGGTGAAAACTAATGCCTTCAATCATTCCTGTATTTCCACCTAGACTCCTAACCAGTAACATACAATTCTCAACATTTACAAGTGATCCATATGCTTACGGAAATGTTTCCTGATGTCGGTATTTCAGAACATACTCAACAGTATCTCAAAACCTGTCAATTTCCTCACCCCTTAGTTCAAAAGACAGCCTGAGGATTTGGTACAATAGCTTTCAAAATACAAATTCAAGAGACTTTCCCCCAGTTTACTTTTAAACCAAGGGCAACTTAAAAGAGCAGTTTGGAATTTCTGACAAGCATCTTATAAAAGACTGCAGCTGGTGAAAGTGTGTGTAGTCTGCCATGCTTGCAATACACTTCGCTCTTAACCTTGACCTTACTGAGAAGATATAGCTTCAAGAGATATAAAAAGTTTCACTACCAGAAACACTCAATACCGATTATTACATATTATTAAGAGCAGGAGACTAGTGGCTCACAATTGACTATGCTGACTGTGAATGATGGGGCTTGTAGGCCAAAACATCTGGAGGACCATAAATTGCCTATTCTAAAAGAAACCCTCCAACAGTCATGATTAAGATGAATTTGTATAACCATATTCCAACACTCAATGACTGCAACATCTTGAGATGACACATGCGTAAAACAGCTCATATCTTAAAGTCTAAAGAGCTTTCCTATCACCTGTCATCGCCTCAAGCATAGTATTTTTCAGTTTAGGAATTGACACATTAAGCTGTAAATCACTGAGTGATAAATCACTGAGTAATGTGTACACTTATGCATGAGTCACCACTGTGTCCAGAAACAAAACCAGCTGCTGTCTACTTGCCCCTAGCCAGCCACTGCGTTTTTGAGACCTTTGTCTAACCTCAGATTTCAATACAGCACATGGCCTTTGCATGCCAGTCTTGAACTGTTTTATGCGGCTCCTGTGCATTCTAAATTGGTGGGGTGTTCCAATTTATCTTTGTTTTCAGAGTTCATTCTGTGCCCGGTGTCTTCCAAGGATATCTGTCAGGCAGCTCCTTCAGCCAAACCCTCTAGGCTATTATTTGAGCAGAATACTTGCTCAGCGGGTACTGAAGAAATTGTTTATCACTTGCTCTGAAGCTGGAGTACATTCCTATGGGGATACTGCAATCTGTTCTGAGACACACTTAAAAATAATTCTTACAGATCCATTCTTTCTTTTCTCTGTTTTTAAAAAATATGGGTGCAGAATTCCCATCAGGATACGAGAACACATACACACTGAATAAAGCACTTGCTAAATGCTACTTCTGCATGCAAGTGTTTGTTAAATGTTACTTTTGCCTTTTTGTTATTTTTGATCCTGTCAGCTTTTTTTTATGCTGATACAAGAAGAGTAAACTACAGTGCCCTTTCATTATTAAGGTAAACACCAAATTACAACTGATTACTATGGGGCTTTTAGTGACCCAGAATTACATTTAGCTCTAGCAAGACAAATGTATTCCCATAAACCAGTCACTCCGCTTACCGGCAAAACAAAGTCCTGTGAGTATTCTCACCCTTTTAGTATCTTGAAAACAATAGCAACTTGCTGTGCCTGGTTACATAATAATTACATTGCACTCCAAACTAAACACATGATCCATTCTGGGGCATATATTCACAACATGGAGTAATCCTAAGTACAAGAAAGGAGTTGTTCAATTGCAACACAATTCACCCAGCTCCCAATTTACTGTGCCCTCTCCTTAAGAAAATAAATACAAAAATCTTTCAGCAGCTTTTGAAGTAGCACAGCTGCTTGACATCTGGATGAGTGGCAGCAGCCTCTGACTACTAATTCATCATGCACCCAACTCAGTTCAGGCTGACATACTTCTGCCACTAATGCTTTGATATTTCATTTAGTTACATAAAAATATATGTTCCAAAAGAAGTGTACAGATTAAATTCTGTCACATCCCGGTGACCATGTCATATTGCCTCATAAAGTGGGGAAACCATAACATACTAGCTGGATAAGGAATATTAGGCTGCATATTTACTTTACTGTAAGTGTATTTTAGATCCTGCAATTTATTATACATGAGGAAAAGGAGCTATTGGATGTTACATCAACTAAGATGGGCCTGAAATGGGAAGGCAGAAGAAGCACAAGCTGTGGAGATGCACGGCCTCAGTAGTCTGAAGTCTTTGCTCATCTCTTGATCAACTGCTGCGCTGTGAATCAACTTTTCACAACCTGGTACCCTCCAGAGGTTTTGAAATGCAATGAACATCATTCCCAGCCAGCAAGGCCACTGGTTGGAATGGAGGAAGTTGCAATCCAGC